ATTGATGTGATAAAATTCCAATGAAATCAAGATTGTGTTAATCTGACATATTTAGAAATTTTCCATTTGTCATATTAGGAAGGCTTTTAAACGATAATTCTATGTTTATATTCAATCTTTTCTAAATAATCAAATACATCCTTCAGATTGCATACCCAGATTACCATGACATTTTAGATTTTTATGTTTCATTTTGAAAAGTGTCGCGACAACCCGGCAGCATGTTGTATACAGAAAGAAACGGGCCTTATTAAATTACGCTTAATCAGATCAAACAGAAAAAAAACAATAAGAAAGAGAGAGAGAGAGAGAGAGAGAGAGAGAGAGAGAGAGAGATGGGGTTTAACGTCCACTCGACACAAACCAGGTCATTTCGGAACTAACATATGGTTTAATTTTATTTCAATAATTCACATGCGCGTAGGGGTCTTTAGCAAGGGGAGGAAACCGGAGGGCCCGGAGAAAACCCACGAGGTTGGACAGGCGACCCTACTCCTTGTCACGTACAACCGGGGATTCGAAACCACATCAGTTGACTTCATGACAGACCTTTTGATACAACACCCATGTTCGCCTGTCCAACCGCGTGGGTTTTCTCCGGGTCCTCCGGATTCCTCCCACTACTAAAGACCCCTACGCACAAGCGAATTATTGAAATAAAAGCGAACCATATGTTAGTCCCGATAGCTTGTGTCGAATGGACGTTAAACCCCTCCTCACTCCATGACAGACCTTATGATACAACGCCCACGTGCTAACCATTCGGTACACAGATCGCCTATCCCAATTTCTTCTTCATATGGTAACTCGGCGAATATTAAGGGCCGGTCACACAGGCTTCCGCGAGTTGATCACGAGTGTATCGCGAGGAAGAACTGTCAAACGCGAAGTAAGCGCGGTCACAAGTGAATGACACGTGAATGAAACGTGGTGGACTCGCGAATAACAAGTGCGCACACGCGCGAAAAATTTTACACGCGCACGGAGTCCGATTTTATTTTTGAGCAGCACAAAAATTAGGCGCAACGGCCACCGCGTGTCGCACACGTGGTGTAAACGCTGTACAAACGCGGGCCAAACGCGATAACACGTGGTACACTCGCGGATCACAAGTGGACGACAAGTGGTCACTCGCGGGCAAACGCAAAATTTCTTCGTGTGACTGCGTGTGTAGCACTTGTCATCCACTTGTGATCCGCGTGTCTACAGCGTTCCTACCACCTGTGATAGCGTGTGCTCCACGTGTAAAAGGCTTCCTCAGGGATTGTGTCACGAGTCATCCGCGGGCCATTCGCGTGTTTTCGCGTTGAATCGCGATTGAACCACGACTGATTCGCGTGTCGTCCACGACCCAATCTCGTTTGTACCACTAGTTATTTCTGCTATAAAAAGATCGCGTGTGGGCCATTTTTCATCAGTTGTGATCAAGAACACCGGACGCGGCGGCTTTTATACACGCGGGCGGCAAGCGGAGCACAAGTGATCGGCACGTGATTCACACGCGGAGCACATGTGGAGCACAAGTGATACACACGCGCTGCGTGTGACCCCATTTTCTGACCACAAGCGCTCACACACGGAGGACTCGTGGTGGACACGCGATGCACACGCGCGCGTGTGGTCCACTTGTCATTCGCGTGTCCAGCATGTCTGAGACAAATTGGTTGATTTTCACCGCGTGTAGAAAAAATTTGCAAAATTTATAGCAAAATTACACGTGATCAACTCGCGGAAGCCTGTGTGACCGGCCCATTAGTAGTCGTGACATTTTACCCGTTCCAATATTATTACCACCTAGCGCGTGCGCGTTGTATTATAAGGTCTGTCATTGAGTTAACAGGCGTGGTTGTTTCCATTTCCCGGTTGTACGTAACAAGGAGTAGAGTCGCCTGTCCAACCGCGTGGGTTTTCTCCGGGTCCTCCGGATTCCTCCGACTGCTAAAGACCCCTACGCGCAAGCGAATTATTGAAATAAAAATCAAACCATATGTTAGTCCCTAAATGACCTAGTTTGTGTCGAGTGGACGTTAAACCCCATCTCTCTCTCTCTCTCTCTCTCTCTCTCTCTCTCTCTCTCTCTCTCTCTCTCTCTCCCTCCTATATTTCTGCACCACCACTTTTCTGGCGCTAAAGGCTACTCATATTTTGAATTCCAAGTGTCAATGGTTCTTTTACGTGCACGCCAATATGTACACGGGACCTTGGTTTTAATTTTAATGAAGACGGGCATAAAACAGTGAACCATCAGGGACATTTCCCCCGGACAGCGGCAGTACGGCCTACTCTTCTTTCGAATTCCAAACATCTAGGATACTCTTACGTCATTTGAAGTAGATATATAAATAAATTCGTCCACTAGAGACAGTTCATTGACTCCATTTATCTCACTACCCTCTTAGAAGGATATTGACCAAGAAGTATGACGACACTACACTACTTATATCCATCTAACAAAACTAACACAGTTATATAGGACAACAATCACTGGTTTATTATACACTAGCACGACGTTTCATTTCGATAAGAGACAGAGAGAGAGAGACAGAGAGAGAAAGAGAGAGAGAGAGTTAATAATTAATGTTTTCAATCGCTAAATGCCACTAAAGGATGGATTATATATCTATTAATATCTAAATGAAATGCCAATAAAGGATTATATATCTATTAGTATCTAAATGAAATGAAATGGGGTTTAACGTCCTAATCTCTCGCTCCCACTGGGCTAATGAAGACGGGCATATACGCCATGCAGTGTGCTATGAGGAAAATTTTGCCCGACATGGGCACTACGGCCTACTCTAAGATAGAATTCCTACTGTCAAGGGATCTTTTAGGTGCACGCCAATGTATACATGGGAGCTCAGTTTTTCGTCACATCCAACACGACTGGACAGCTGTCCTTGTCAGGCCCCCCGTCATGCATCACTGACAATGGGAAACCACGTCGGAAAATCCCGATGAACCAGGGGCGGATCCAGGAATTTTTGCAGGAGGGGGTTTGCCAGGTTCCTGAGACAATGTATCTCCTCCGCTCCCGCATGGTCTCTATCGTCATTTTGGTGTATATACACACACATTGATCTTTTAAAACAGAGAAATTCAACACCTCGTTTGACGTCAATTTTTATTATGAATTAATACAATGACATTGTGATTCAATTTCATGGATGCAAAGCATTAATTGTGATATCACATAAAGTCTATATCATTATCTCGTGCTTTGAGTGCCCATCCTGTCCCACATCTGACGATAAAGGATAAAGCACACGGCCGAGAAACTTTTCTCATAAAAATTGTTGATTTACAAAATAAAATATGTAGCTGTGCAGGCCCCCCCGCCCCCCCCCCCCCCTGGATCCGCCCCCGTGAACCTATACTAGTATTTATTTTTACACGTGTTAATATTTAAATCAACAAGTTTAAAATTTCATGTGGTACCAGGAAGTATTTACATAGTCTTACAGTTGTACTAAGAAGTAGGATAGTACAATGGACCGGGAACCGAGTCTGACGTCATCGCGTCATTCTTGGAATTGTGATATAGCATATCAATGTTGAACTAATCCAATGTTAGGTCTAAATATTAAGGCCAACTGTAGATAGGTCACGGGATGTAAACAGGGCTGGCGCTAACGCTACCGTAGACCAAACACGTACCCTAACCCTAACACGGAGAACGGGCAGGGTCCCAAATATGGCTTTCCGAATCATCTGGATTACGTCTAAAGCAATATCTCGGTTTCTACGGGGCGTGCACCCAAGATTGGGGTTTTTTTGGTTTTATTTGGGGGGGGGGGGGCGCGGAGAAATGGCCTATGGGTCCGGAAACGACTCCCGTTTGAAAAATTTTCAAAAGAAAATTAAATAACTTTGGCATTGGAAAAAAAACTGATCCATATGGTAGTCCCGAAATGACCTAGTTTTTGTCGAGTGGACGTTAAACCCCATTTTCTATATATATATATATATATATATATTCCGTGTCTCACCGTGACAAAGAGAAAATATAGATAGCGTTGCTAACAAAACTCTGTCTCACTAAAGGTAACACTGAGACCGAAAACCCCAATCCACAGTCTCTTTAATAATCACGTGACCTGACCAAGACGAAATCTGCAGTTACCCTTAACATTTAGACCTGATCGTACGTCAATCGATGGTCAATGTCCGAGATCAAACATGTTAAGGTTCGTGTCGCTCGAAGATAATTCCTGGTCCGAAAATATACTCTAACTATCAGGATACCCGGCTTCGCTCGGGCGTCATAACTCCGAACCCGGAAGTGGTAGACTAACGCCACCTGGCATATGTTACTCCCCGGTCGGAGCTACCCCTATACCCCAAATTTCAGACTCGGGGCAGACCTAGTGTAGCCGCCAACCCCGCTTCGCTCGGGGGCCATAACTCCGAAACCGGAAGTGGTAGACTAACGCCACCTGGCCTATGTTACTCCCCGGTCCGAGCTACCCCTATACCCCAAATTTCAGACTCGGGCAGACCTAGTGTAGCCGCCAACCCCGAACAGACAGACAAACAGACAAACGACAGTCACAAATATTAGTATAGATAGATAGATATATAAAGATTGACACATTACGAATTTGAGATTCTACTAGTCATGTTTATTTCCTTTCATTTTGCCGTGAGCTTGCTTTCTAAATTGCATTTTAAGATTGAATTGGGTATTATGTTCGATTTAGGCCTCTTTACGCATCGCCTTTGAATCAGTAGTGAACAAGACAGCGTTTATCTGTGTATATGTATGTTTGGTCTAATGTCATTTTACTTTCATTTTTTAATTGTATGCTGCTCTCCGTGAGCGTTTTTATGCAATAAACTTACTTACTTACAAGATCGGCCTATGTCAAAATATTACATTGCGAAATTAATAGTATCTCTGAGAACAGACCAATCATTTTAATTTTCCGTCAGGAGATGACCTCATCTAATTTCGTAGCCGTATTGCTGGATGTTATTACAAGCGGTAATGAATGACGCACCCTTTAGCTACTGATTTAAAGCCCCGCATAATGTTATTGTTTACATTTAGTACAACATATAGGTCAGAGAAGTCGTTCTGTTTAATTCATGCGTATATTTACAATTTTTATCTAAATTAACGCTAGACATGGATTATTATACATCTGGATGGCCAGTTCTACTGGTTTTATTATTATTACACATTAAAGGTAAGAAATTTTGATTTTGGTTCATTTAATGATTTGTCTTGAATATTACGTATACCGACTCCATTAGTCCAGTCGGAGTAGAGCGTAGGACGTTATCCCCCATTTTATTGCGTTTCATTTCATTTTCATTATAATAAATAAAACGCAGTTGTGTAAAAAAAATGAAAGGATATTTCTCTTCTGAGTAAATTACACGAATTTGTGTGGTGGAATCAAGCCAAAATATTGAGGTCTATTTTTAGAAATAGAATAACGCAGAAATCTGTGGATATTCAAGCATTTGCCTTCAGTCTACATTAATATGAGGATGGTTGGGTGACCGAAGGTTTTAAAGTCTGTCATTGAGTCAACTGGCGTGGTTTCGATTCCCGGGTTGTACGTGACAAGGAGTAGGGTCGCCTGTCCAATCTCGTGGGTTTTCTCATGGTCCTGTACTCCCCCCCCCCATCCCACCACCGCCACTCCATGATAAAACCCTTGCGCATAAGCGAATTGTTGAAATAAAATTGAACCGTGTGTTAGTCCCGAAATAACCTAGTTTGTGTCGAGTGAACGTTAAACCCCATTTCTCTATCTCACATAATAGTATAAATACAATGTACACTAATTAATTTAAATCAAGGATAATTATACGTAATCGTAATGGGTGGAGGGGGTGACCAAATGGTTAGCGCGTGAGCGTTGTATCATAAGGTCTGTCATTGAGTCAACTGGCGTGGTTTCGATTCCCGGGTTGTACGTGACAAGGAGTAGCGTCGCCTGTCCAACCTCGAGGGTTTTCTGCAGGTTCCCCGGTTCCCCTAACTGCTAAAGTCCCCTACGCACAAGCGAATAATTGAAATAAAATCGAACCATATGTTAGTCCCGAAATGACCCCGTTTGTTTCGAGTGGACGTTAAACCCATCTCTCTCTCTCTCTCTCTCTATCTCTCTCTCTATCTCTATTTATCGTAATAAATGTGAATACTCATTATAAATGAAATGGGGTTTAACTTATTACTCGTAGTCGGTATATGAAGAGGGAAATACTCATTAATATTTATTGTACTTATGGATAAATTCTATTTCATTATCTTTAACTAAAACAGAAAGTTCGTTTATTCGCCATGGAAACCAAGCGGTTGAACTTATAAATTTATACAAATTATAGATAAATTCATAATAACGATGTTGTTTTTGTTTTGTACGAAAAGTTTAACGGTGTTATTTTTATTTTATTTTATTTTTTTTAAACCCTTTATTCCCCAGCAAAAAGTATATATATTAGAGAAAATACCAAGGTTTAGCGATGTCCTTTCTTTTGTATTTAATTGAGTATTTAATGGTAAAATTGATAATTGATTATTGCGTCATTTAGGTTGTTAGAAAACAGGATTTTGCACTCGTGCAACATCGCATGACAGCCTAGTGATTTCGTAAAGTTAAACCGAAATAGGTTCATGTACGTGTACATAATGAATTATAAATTAACAACAGATGACCAAGACTTGATAACGATAAGAAACTCAAAAATATAGATACAGGATTTTAAAGGGTGTATAGCTCTATTGAATCTTAAATTTAATAAGAATGTATAAAAAGTGATTCATATTCAATTGTTTTTAAAATATTTATTGTAATTTCTAATTAATTATGTTCGGTGAAATACCTGAACAGTCCAATTTGAACGAAAGTCGTTTACGTCTGCGTAGTCCATTCGACACGGTTTTTTATATTATTATTTTGTTTGTGAATCAGTCATTGTTAATTACATCCGCATTGTCTTCATAGGTAATGTTTTTCTTTGTTGATTACAAATGGCACCAAAACCACAAAGTTTACGACTCGTGTACTGATTTTAAAATGTTCATCGTGTCTTAAATATTGGATATTAGAATGCCATATTTTCACAGTAACATAACAACATCAATATCGTTTGAAATGGATCGATATTGAATTCTAGTTCGTATTTTTAATTTCGAATATCATGGTAACTATTGAGCTAGAGCTATAGCACCGTTAATAAGTAAAGACACATAATTGGATTTTTTTTTCTGTTTTTTTTTTGGGGGGGGGGGGTTGTTGGGGGGGGGGGGGGATTTTTTTAACAAATAAATTCATGAAAAATGCTTAAACGTAATTACAAGAAAACCAAATAAATAAAAATAAATAATGGCAGGGTTTCTTTTATCTACTACATTCCAAATATAATTTGGTATGGAGGGTTATTATTATTATTATTATTACAAACATTTGTTATAGCTTCGCTTTCACATATACGTTTTCAGAGGTGCTTTACAATGGTACAAATATATAATTATTAAACCATAAAATTAAACAACACAATACAGTCAATACTAATGAATCAATAAAAATTTCAATATATATATATACATGTTTATCTAAAAAGTCTGGAGCAATAGATGGGTTTTTAGGGGGGGGGGTTTGGATAGCCAAGTTGTCTAACGCATGCACTTGAGATCCTAAGCTTGTACGAATCAAGGAATAGGGTCGCCTGATCCTTTGATCCCCTCCCACTGCTAAAGGCCCCTTCTTGCAAAGGCTTTATTGCAATCAAAGTGTACCACATGTCAGTCCTGAAATGACTGCGGAGTTGGATGGCCAAATGTTTAGCGCTTGCGCGTTGTATCATAAGGTCTGTCATTGAGTCAACTGGCGTGGTTTCGATTCTGCGGTTGTACGTGACAGGGAATAGGGTCACCTGTCTAAACTTGTGAGTTTTCTCCTGGTCCTCCGATTTCCTCCCACTCCTAAAGATAAAATTGAAATATATGTTAATCCCGAAATGACCTGGTTTGTGTCAAGTGGACGATAAACCCCACCCCTCTCTCTCTCTCTCTCTCTCTCTCTCTCTCTCTCTCTCGCTATAGACTCCTAAGCACAAGCGAATTGTTGAAATAAAATTAAACCATATGTTAGTTCCGAAGTGACCTGGTTTGTGTCGAGTGGACGTTAAACCCAATTCCTCTCGCTCCCCCTCAAAATTGACTGTATACAAGTTTACAGCACATAGTTTGGGATTCTTATATATCATGTAAGGTTACTTGTAGTCGAAATGGTATATAATATCTGTACCTCTCCATTAATACCCGAACCTAAATAAAATCTAAGATAGTTATATATTAGTTCTACTAGACAAATCTAGAAAAAAAATTGATCCCTTTCCCTAAACCCCCCAAAAATTAAAATGTAATTTTGTCTTCCACCTTGACCCGGGTTGGTAGTCCATAGACTTCTTCGTCTCCTGACCTTAAACACTGTGTATAAATTTAAAGTCAATCAGATATTAACTAGCCTCTAAAGTGTGGGCGTATAAAAACAAACAAACGATAGTCACAAATATTATAGATAATGACACAACCTTTGACCAATATGGCTGACCCCGGATCCATACAATTGATTTATGTACGTGTATATTGTTTATTGTTGGTAATGTCCGGGTAATCTATGTATCATGTTCTTGGGTTTGTCTGTTTGTGTGTGACACGATCCTCGCGCACCTGCTATCATTATACAAGGACAAAAATTGTAACTGAATGAAAGTTAAACGATAACCTGGTACACATGTTAGAGGTCATTATCTGTTTTATGAATGAGTCACATAATGTGTCTAGAAAGCACACACCCACCACCCTCCACCCATAGAGTTCAGGGGGACAAGGTTGACATTAAGCGTATAGATATATATTATACGTTAATCTGATAAACGAGCTGTATTATACCGAGATGACGTAATTGGGTGTATCCTGGTTATCCCCTACTTAAAGTATCCAATGACAGCAGGGATGACGTGATAAACAAGAAAGCTATAATATACTGACTCGGCTGAGTAGGTCGCTTTGTTCGAAGGTCAGCCATTGAATCAAGTGGTGTGGAGAGAGAGAGAGAAATAGGGTTTAACGTCCACGCGACTCAAACTAGGTCATTTCGGGACTTACATATGGTTTAATTTTATTTCAATAATTCGCTTGCGCGTAGGGGTCTTTAGCAGTGGGAGGAAACCGAAGGACCCGGAGAAAACCCACGAGGTTGGACAGGCACCCCTACTCCTTGTCACGTACAACCGGGGATTCGAAACCACGCCAGTTGACTCAATGACAGGTCGTATGATACAGCACGCACGTGCTAACCATTCGGCCCCCCCCCCCCCCAAGTGGCATGGTTTCGATTCACCGCTTGTACTTAACAAGAAGTAGGGTCGCTTGTCCAACCTAGTGGGTTTTCGTCGAGTCGTCCGGACAAGCGAATTATTAAAAAGATTTAACCATGGACGTTAAACTCCCCTCTCTCTCATATCTGTCGACGAGTGTCGTGCACATGTACGCACAAATCAGAGGTATCCTTACGCTTTTTGGTTAGCGCGTGCGCGTTGTATTATAAGGTCTGTCATTGAGTCAACTGGGGTGGTTTCGATTCTCCGACTGTACATGACAAGTTGTAGGGTCGCCTGTCCAACCTCGTGGGTTTTCTCCAGGTCCCCCCGTTTTCTCCCACTGCTAAAGATCTTTACTTGCAAGCGAATTATTGAAATAGTATTGAACCATATGTTAGTCCCGATATGACCAGGTTTGTGTCGAATGGTCGTTACCCCCCCCCCCCCTCTCTCTCTCTCTCTCACACACTCTCTCGGGCGAACCTTAATAAAACAGCCCAACAAATCGTCCGGAAGTTCGGACGGATACAACCAGCCGACAAATCATAGGTGATAGATCTATTACGTCTGAATACCGGGGATGGGTTCTTAAAACTAATTAAACTTAATTAAAATATGACCTGGTGCCCCAAGGAATCCGCAAGTGGAAAAGGGTTGGTAGTCGCTCCTCGAAAACCATAAATTAAACATACATTATGCAACAGCTAAATCTGCCTATTGCAGGTCTTTCTTTAGGCCTGATATGTTATGCAAGCTATTTATTAACATGAAAAGACCTTAATCAACTCTGGATGCTATCTTATATGTCGGATTTTCACTGGATTTGAATCCGAGCTGCTGCTCAAAGCTCATTGATGATTAAATCCAAAAACTGATAATCGAGACTATGTTTTTTTTTATATCGTACCGACTTTAGTAATGATGATCGAGGCTAGGCCTAAAATCCAATCGCTAATATCTCTGTTCAGAGTGAAGCGATTTGACTGAAATTTTCAACATATTCCCTTTACATTATCTAGTTTGTAACTATTATAGCGAGACCTGTCACCTCTTTATATATAATCTTTCATTATACCCCTTTAACTATAATATACGTAACATATCAGGGATTTACGTATGAGGAAACCAATTGTGGTCATTATTTGTATTGTTTTATTTTGTGTTTGTTTCAGAGTCTGTTGGAGAATACTGTTACTATAACAACCGACAGTCACGTCAGTACTGTACGTATGGCTGTTGTGATTATGAAGAAGAAAGTGGTTGCTGTCCTGCGACATATCTGTACGTATACATTAAATATACATTATACAAGAGCTAAATATGTCTATTGCAGGTCTTTTTTAGGCCTGACATGTTATCTAAATTATTAATTAGACTTTAATTAACTTATCCAAACCATAATCAACTCCCGGTGGCATCGGATACTCAAGATTTTAACTAGATTTTAACGGTTCGCCATTTAAAAATTTAATTTAAAAATGGGAAAGCGAGGCTAAGTCCCGATTATACCAGTGCCCTGGTTACCACTGTGCACATACATCGTGTCAAAACTACAAACAATGATATCTTGACTGAGAATGAAGTAAATACCAAATTTCTCACGGCTTAATCCATACGCTGTATAATATGTTGTGCTCCGAACTGGGCTAATATTGACCTGGTTACGATTCGTGATACAAATCGTATCGTAGCACCTGAATCGTAATACGTATCGTGTCGTGACTGCAGTGGTAATACCCAGCACTAGTGTCAGATGGTATTCATAATAATGAAAATGGAATAAATGAAATGAAATGGGGTTTAACGTCCTACTGTTCTGCTCCGACTAGGCTAAAAAAAAAACAGGCATACGCCATACAGTGTGCTATGAAGGAAAGTTTGCCCGGGCAGCGCCTCTACGTTGTACTCTTATTTTGAATTCCAACTGACAAGGGATCTTTTACATGCACGTCAATGTGTACACGGAACCTCGGTTTTTCGTCCCATCCGAACGACTAGACAGCTGTCCTTGGCGGACCCTCCGTCCTGCGCCACTGACAAGGGGAAATCCCGATGAACTTTCCCGGCAAATGCAGGGATCGAACTCTCGACCTTTAGGCTAGCGAGCCAGCGTCTTACCTACTTAGCCACAGTGGCTCCCCTGGTATTTAATTAAGAAATCAAACTACCAACAGTAGACAATCCCCCGGCTTGGAATCAATTGGATTTAAACTAGATCCATTATGTTTCTCCGATACGGATAAAAGATTATTTGGTTTTACAAGGCATTCGCACACGGCATTCCTGTAATGACCAGGGGCTTGTTTCACGAAATTTTAACTAAGATAAAATTCAAATTTTAGTAATTTGATTGGATGATATTAGATTGATTTTAGCGCTCAACCAATCAAAATTGAAGTATCTATTAAAATTTGGAGTTTATCTTTAGTTAACATTTCGAGAAATAGGGCCCTGGACACAGGCACTTGAAGTGATTAAAATAAAAACTTCTCACTACTGCTCGACTATATTACAGTATATAGTCAGGCAGTAGTGAGAAGTTTTATTGGGTGATTGGTCAATTTGAATAGGCTAAATCTATTTGTTAAGGCTAGCTCAATTTTCGTCAAGGTCGTTGAGATGTAAATAAGGTTAGGGCACGTGATTGTTGGCGCGATTGTAGGTTAAGATTAGGATAAGCATTGGGGTTAGGTCCAGAGTTAGGGTTAGGGTTGGGATTAGCGCTAGTCCTGTTTACATCTCGTGACCTGTGACGAAAAATTGAGCTGGCCTTATCATTTAGCAATAACCCTGATTTACCCCAAATAATGGTACCAAGGAAGTTGTGAATAAATTTTCAAATTTTCTAGTGATTAATAAACTATAAACATACTTGTGGAAAACAGCTACTGATTTATTTAGGCGACATTTCGGAGAGTATTCTCTCAACGTTTTCAAGCTAATACGTTGAGAGAATACTCTTCACTCTTCGAAACGTCACCTAAATAAATCAGTATCTGTTGTCCATAAGTATATGTATAGTTTATTTATCTGCACAGTTACTAAATGCCACTTAAAGATTATTCTAGTGATTGTCATTTATTTATTTTCAGTGGTGTGAGAATTGCAGTTGGTACGGTATTTGGGTTCCTTATTTTAATGGCTCTAATAATTGTCTATTGTTGTCGACGTAAATGTAAAGATGAATCTAAACGTAATCTTAACAGACCAGCACATAACAATACCATCAGCCCAAGTAAGTTTTATTTATTAAACATACATTATACAAGAGCTTAATATGCCTATTGCAGGTCTTTTTTTAGGCCTGAACTGTTTTCTAAATTATTAATTAGACATTAATTAACTTATCCAGACCATAATTAAGTCTCGATTGATAACCCAATTGATTGATAACTGACTCAGCCAAGTGCAATAGACTGTAACGCGTATGCACGGCGTGGAAATCAAAGCTTTGTGGCAAAAAATATTTATTGCCACGGTCGAAAAAGAATCGCCATACAGGAAAAAATTATCGCCAAAAATTTCGCCAGATTGAATATTTTATCGCCAAAATTATATTTTTATCGCAATTGGCGGAAATGGCGATCGACAGCGTGAGCGCTGATAGTATCCTTGTACTTGTTTTTATTTTTTTTGTTATTTCTGTTAAATGATTTTTTACTTTCAGATACTGTTCAAGCAAACGAAGTTCCGTCTGGTGTGAATAACCCATCAGTGTTCTCACTATCACCGCCATCATTGTTTGGATCACACCCAGCAAATACTTTTGATCCACCGCCATCTTATGAATCGGTTGTAGCACAACAAAACCAGGGCCCAGATATGGTTTAATGCTCATGTAACACAAATTACGTCATTTCAGGCCTAACATGTATGGTATAATAATGTACAATAATTCGCTTGCTCACAGTGGTCTTTGGCAGTAAGAGGAAACCCGAGAAAACCCACGAGGTTAGACAGGCGACCTTACTCCTGCCCACGCACACCGACATCTGAATAGATGATATATATTATGCTCTTAAGTGCAGCGATTTCGGTCATGGCGGTAAAATGTCGGAGAAAAGAATATATCTCAAAAATCACAATATTGTGAAAGTTGAATCTCTAAAAATAAATTAAAAAATAATAAAATAAGACAATTGTTTTTAAATCCAAGATTAGAACAGTTCAACCATACTTTGATTTAAGCTTAAAAAAAAATGGAGGAGCGAGAATTAGCTTCGAACAACCAGTACGGTGGTTGAAATTATTGCACACGTGTTGTCAAACCTTCAAAGGCTAATACCTGCGCTGGCAATAGAGTAATTTGAGTGACATTTTCAAATTATTCATTTTACGTTATCTATTTTCGAACTATTATAGCAAGAATGGCTAGCTCTACTATCTAAATCTTTTTTTTAAAATCTAAGACGGAAGTTTATCTACCGTGGATATTTTGTTTTCTTAAAGTCATTGATCGCCGTTTATGTGATTCTTATCCATTAAAATGTATAACATTGTGAAAGTTGGATTTCTAAAAGGAATAACGTAACTGTTTTTTTAATACTAGCTGAATGTAACTAGTGTTTTAAGCTAGTTTAACATAACTTATGTTTCCAAGCTAGCTTAACGTAACTTATGTTTCTAAGCTAGCTTAACGTAACTAGTATTTTAAGCTAAATTAACGTAACTGGTGTTTTAAGCCAGGTGAATATAACTAGTGTTCTCAACTAGCTAGTATTTTCAGTTAAATTAGCTTAACGTAACTACATGTAGTGTCTTCAGCTAAATTAACGTAACTAGTAGTTTAAGATAGCTTAACGTAACTAGTGGTTTAAGATAGCTTAACGTAACTAGCGTTTTAAGATAGCTTAACGTAACTAGTATTTTCAGCTAAATTAACGTAACTAGTGGTTTAAGATAGGTTAACGTAATTGCTGATTTAAAATAGGTTAATTTAACTAGTGTTTTAAGCTAACTTAGGGTAACTGGTGTGTTAAGCCAGCTTAATGTAACTCGTGCTTTCAGCTAAATTAGCGTAGCCGGTGTTTTAAGATAGCTTAACGTAACTAGTGTTTTAAGCTATCTTAACGTAACTGGTGTTTTCAGCTAGCTTAACGTAACTAGTGTTTTAAAATAGCTTAACGTAACTAGTGTTTTAAGCTAACTTAAGGTAACTGGTGTGTTAAGCCAGCTAAGCGCAACGGGTGTTTTAAGCTAGTTTATCGTAACTGTCGTCTGAACGAGCTATAGCTAAACTACAATAACCAGACCATAACACATCAAACCTACATCATTTTATTATAATATGCGACCTGGGTGTATTCCGATAAAACCAAGCATATTTCATTTATACTTTGTATTTGAACATCGAATTATCATTTGTCGTTTTAAGAGACCAGCCATTTTGTATTAATGCAGTTCTGAGATATTTTCAGACTGAATGTCACCCAATCTGATTAAAACACAGATCCTATTTCTTTTCGTTTTTTTGTTTTTTTAGTTCAAAATTTCGTTTGACTTGTCTTTTAGTGTAGGCTATCGAAAGTATAAAAAACGAATCGAAGTATAGATCTGTATTTTAATTAGATGGGAATATCATCGCTCATATAATATTTTTTGTTTTGTTTTTAATGTAGCTTTGTGAGATATATAATACAAATGTTCTAATCTTTACTGTGATATTTTCTAATACCAAATATTATTTTACTTATATTTTCATTATATTTTATGTAAATAATTTTATTTAACATGGTTAGTTCTAATTATCATAATATAACAAGACTTAAACATACATTATGCAAGAGCTTATTCTGCCTATTACAGGTCTTTCTTTAGGCCTGAAATGTTATCTAATTTATTAATTAGACATTAATTAACTTATCCAGACCATAGTCAACTCTCTGTGTCATCGCTTGCCTGCGATATTTACTGGATTAAAATTCGATTAGCTGCTCAACTTTCATTCATGATTTAATCATGAAATGGATAATCGAGACTATGTTTGTTCATCGTACCGTCTTTAGTAATGATGATCGAAGCTAGGCCCAAAATTCAATCGCTAAATTATCGGTTCAGAGTGGATCAATTTGACTGAAATTTTCAGCAAATTTCCTTTACATTATCTAGTTTCTAACTATTATAGTGAGAACTGCCAGCTCTTTATCTAATCTACCATAATGTACCTTTAATATTACTGTGTACTTTTATGCGTAACATAATATTTAATAAATTTGATTTTAATGTATATTTATTAATTGAAAATGTAAACAATTGTGAATTAAAGTTTTAATAACTTTGATTTCGATGTTGGTATATTAACTGATAAAACATAGATTTACGGTAATAAAAGTTTTTAATAATAAAGATTTTAGTGTGTGTTGAATACTATGCATTCTAAACCATGATCTAAATTGGATATTTGACACCGATGCTACCATCACAAGCTATTTTTTTTGTTGTTGCCCTATAATGAAATATTGACCACAATACACATAATTATGCATTACAACATTGTATTCACTATATGATGAGACATGAGAGTCCCGTCGGGCCTGAATGGGTTATAATACGTAGTTATTAATCGTGGCTGTCATGGGGTGTCAAATATATAGGTATATGATATGATGACTCATATGATATAATAGGTATATAGAACGCTATATACGTTATTTATAACTATAAATAGATATAGGTCTATATTTAGATTTACCCGGATCAGGTATATAGGTCTATATTTAGACCTACATGTATACCCTGATCAAATATACCGTGTTTCATTTCGGTCACGGTTAAAAAATATAATGATTCATATAATGACTCATAAAATGACTCATAAAATGGATTATTGTCATTGCGTCCTTGGTTTTGAAAAGAAATGCTTAAAATCTTTCTAGATTTATTGTCACAAGAAATATACAATTTGTTGCACTATTTAGCTCCCAATACATTACATAAAATAATATTAACCCAGCATATCATTGTCTATACAAAAAACAACTTATAAAATAATAATAATAACACAACGTTATGGATTTACTACTTCTTGGTTTATTACATACAACGTTTCAATACTCTTACAGGTATCTTTATCAAGCACTGGGTCAATTCAAGTCCCGGGTTACGCTTGTGTTAAGATTGTGTTGTGGTGGTGTATAACTCGTGTTTTTTTAGTACCTTAACCTGGGCCTGTCGATTTAGCACCAGTGTTTACACCAGTGTCTAAACTAGTTTACACCAGTGTTGTAATAAATGACTTGAACTGATATTTTTTTCAACTCCCAGGGGTTAGTGTTATTTTTAACAAGATAATAACTTTTATCAAGTTATTATTATCTAACAAGTTTTTATGTAATTAGAAATAATATTGCACAAAGCTCCTTGTCTTTATATTTTTTTCATGTAAATTTTTTTCTTAAATCGGGAAATTGATATTGAGGGACTCAGGTATAAGTTTGTGTTTGGGTAACACATATATTACACTGGTGTTCATGCTGTGTAAATATATCCACATTTAACACAACCTCCGCACCACAGACCTTAACTAGGATCGATTTCAAATATAGAGTGGGCCTGAGGTTGAGTTAGCATAGCGTTACACCAGTGCTACACTGATCTAACTGGTGTTAGACACTACACCACCTTAACCCAGGACTTGAATTGACCCATTGTCAAAAATTAACTGCCCAGTAGATTACCGGACTTTATTTTGATTGGTACAATGTGGTTATGTGTTACATTGGTGCTATCCTTCCTATAATATAAAAGTCCAGCTCAAACATAATAAACGGTCTGCGATATCACCTCGGTGGAAGCGGACGTAAAATAAAGCTATTTTACACACATAATAAACGGTACGGGGGGGGGGGGCTACTGATCTAGAGTGTCACGCTTCGACCTCTAGCTGGCCGGTCACCTCTGGCTTGCGATTGTGGTTTTGATCCCTGGTGTGAGTGTATGTGGCTTGGCGATAGGGGCGCCTTCTCAACCTCGTGGGTTTACTTCGGGTACTCCGGTTTCCTCCCACAGGAAAGACACCTACGCATGCGCTAAGATAATAAAAATGAAGATAAGACAACTTTTCTGCGATATCACCGTCGGTGGAAGCGGACGTTAAACACTGAGAACAACATAATAGACGGTGTAGAGAGAGAGAGAGAGAGAGAGAGAGAGGTGGGGTTTAACGTCCACTCGACACAAACTAAGTCATTTCGGAACTAACGTATTGTTTAATTTTATTTCAATAATTCGCTTGCGCGTAGGGGTCTTTAGCAGTGGGAGGAAACCGGGGGACCCGGAGAAAACCCACGAGGTTGGACAGGCGACCCTAACATTGTCACGAACAGCCGGGGAATCGAAACCACGCCAGTTGACTGAATGACAGACTTTAGACTACAGCGCGCACGCTTACCATTCAGCCCCCCCACCCCCAATAGACGGTGTACCAAATCTTATCGGCGTGTTTTCTTTACGTGGCCCTAATCAGCCACCTTACAAAGTTTACAAGAAGAACGTTGAGTATTATTTATGACGATATTTATATTGCTTTTGCGCAATAATCATACAGTTATTTATTTATTTATCAATAAACATGTTTAAAGTTCCAGTAGAATAATATTTACATATATTCTTACAATAATTATACTGGAAATATATATTTATTAGGTTGGGTTCTTTTTTTTTTTACAAAAATTGTATAATGTAGATATTACGTTTACAAAACTAAACCAGTCTGTTAGGGTTAAGCTTATATCGTAATGGTTCCCTTCCATCAGTGTGACAAGGAGTAGGGTCGCCTGTCCATCCTCATGGGTTTTCTCCGGGTCCTTCAATTTCCTCCCACTGCTAAACCCCCTACGCGCAAGCGAATTATTGAAATAACATTTGAACAATAAGTTAGTACCGAAATGACCTTGTTTTGCTCTCATTTCGTCATTCCGAGACACCTGGAGCAGAGGAGTGGTGGGGGAAGACCAAACTTAGGGCACTTTAGAGGTGGTAAAGCTAGGAAATGTTTGGTGCTGTGACACATGTTATAGTCGATTTGACGTTTATCTGAGCCATGAAATACCACACATTGATACTTGGTTAAGGGATTATGATTAAGTCCTGAAGATCTGAACATAAACATAGTTAGCAACAACCAAGAACTTAACGTAATAAGGGCTTTTTTTCAGAAGGTGGGCACATAACCACACACTCACCCCTATGCATTGGTAAGCAATCTTATCGATTTCGAGCCTTATCAACCATTTCCGGTTTCTTCTGTTTTGCTTTTATGAGGACTGAGCCTACCCCTGTCTACCCGCCCCGCACACCAGGGAGTGTGGTACTAACTCACTTTCTCGGTAGTTGTAAGTTCGATCCAGGAGACTTTACAGTCTGGTTTCCTGGTTTCAGTGTTGCCGTCCAGACAGTCGGGCATGGAAAAGTGTGGTCAAGTCGTTGAGCGGACACCCTGATTTTCAGGTCAATAAAGAGTTCGTAAACATGTCGCTGTCTGGACACGGTTTCCCTCGTAGCACAGTGTCCGTCTTCATTAGCCCAAATGGTATCTGGGCTTACACTGTTGGTCGCCAAAGTCGCAATTTGCGATAAAAATATGAAAGTGGCGATAAAAAAAAAATTTTTTTAGCCATAATTGTGGCAATAACGTGTTGGGGTACTGGCGATTCATTTTGAGAACTGTCGAAAAAAAAACCTTAAAATTTAAAATTCTAGATTGACCATTACATCGAGTGTCGATTACAATCACATGGTGGCATACTACAAACTAATCAACTGGCTCATAATCCGGATCGTATCAATGAGTAATACTGACCAATAGCTACAGAAAAGGAGAGAGAGAGAAAGAGAGAGAGAGAGAGAGAGAAAGAGAGAGAGAGAGAGATGGATTAAACATGCACTAGACATAAATGTAGGTCATTTCGGGACTAACACATGGTTCAATTTTATTTCAATAATTCACTTGCGCGAAGCAGTGGGAGGAAAACGGAGGACCCGGAGAAAACCCACGAGGCTGGACAGGCGACCCTACTGCTTGTCACGTACAACGAGGGATTCGAAACCACGCCAGTTGACTCAATGACAGACCTTTTGATACAGCACGCCCTAATCATTCGGCCACCCAACCCCGCCAGAAAAGTAGAACGCCAAACCTTATTTTGTTTCTAGTATTTTCTAGTACCCACTTTAATAAATTTTACCCTCATTCAGATATTTAACACCGCCCATTATAACTACCGTTTATATCAAACGAGGTTAAACCAGAGGTGAAAGTAGCCATCTTGTTAATTTTAAATGTTTGTGGTAAGGTACGGGAGTTTTGTGTTTATATCAAGGTGAAAAATGAAATCTTATACCCGTAACACAGCTGTGATAATTGTACTACTATGGTTACATTTTAAAGGTAACATGTTTTTTGATTTTTGTTTTTTGTTTATATAAACAATATTCATTTACAAAAACAGGATTTGGGAATAGACAGAAACCCCCTAGACCCCCCTCTCCATTAATATTTTGTTTTATTCACGATAAATGAATTGGATTGGGAACAATGCGTAGTCTATGTAAAACAGATTTTTCTGACGCGATATAATTTTAAAATTCCGTGATTATCTGAGTAAATGAAATAAAATGGGGTTTAACGTCCTACTGTTCTACTCCTAAACTGGGCTAATGAAGACGAGCATACGCCATACAGTGTACTATGAGGGAAATTTTGCGCGGGCAGCGGCACAATGGCCTACTTTCATATCGAATTCCAACTGCCAAGAGATCTTTTACGTGCACGCCGATGTATACACGGGACCTCAGTTTTCGTACTATCCCTGTAAACCACGATTATAATAAAATCGAAATTATTGTATATAGTGATCGACAAATATGTATAATATATTTGGAAAATGATTTTCTGATTGTTGCGGAAGAATGTTTCCGTACCTAATTAATGCGTAATTGGTAATGACGGAACTCAAAGATCGATCAACCTGATTAAAACACAGATCCTATTTCGTTTCGTTTTTTATAGTTCAAAATTTCGTTTTACTTGTCTTGTAGTGGAGGCTATAGAAAGTATAAAAAAATAAAACGAAATATAGATTAAGGCTCGATTTTCTGGTTTGATAAGTATTATGTAAACTTCTACTCAGTGATGGGATTTTGCCCGTATATTCCGGACATGTCCGACGCTATTTTCCAAACGTCGTAAATTGTCCGACCAGGAATATGCCCAATCGGACATCAAGACATTGTAAATAATATTCAAAATTCCAAAATTAATATAGTGTACTGAGTGTATAACTACCACTCAACCCGATTATCGTTGATAAGAGGCTGGATTGATTAGGTAATTAAGTGATCAACGTATTTATCGTTTTATACGGTCTATACTGCTGCTCATTATTACCAAGGGGCTGTGATGACCTAGTGGTTCACCAACCAAATGGCTCGGGTTCGATTCCCGTTTTGGTCGAGAAAGTTCTCTGGTATTGTCCAGCGTAGTTTCCCCTTGTCAGTGATGCAGGACGGATGGCACTACCTGATTAACCACGGGAGAAAGAGTATCGGGTCAAACATTTCGGAAGGACATCAACGTTTTTATTTCATCAGATTCGTTAGGTCTTCAAAACACCTATAAATATACATTGATTTACATATTGAACGAAGATGGGATGCTGAGGTTCAAATTACGGTTTCCGGGGCCAGAAATAGTCTAAAATGGCATCTAAAACAGCAATCAATTTTGCCGAATGTTCTGGTTTTAAACCCCCTCCCCCACCCCACTCTTCGTGTGGTTTTCGCAACTTGGGTTTATTGTCACAGCAACACTTCAATATGGATATCTGAATTTTCTGCCCCACCCCACTCCCGTCACCTAAAAATCCTTGATATATTCCCGGAAGGTTACGTTTTGTTTTCAATTGTTTCGTCCAGATCAAAAATATCTGCCCCCCCCCCTCCCCTCGCTCACCCCACTCAACAACTCCACCACCATCCCAACCTCCTGAAAATCCTTGATCTGCCCAGGCCGTAACTAGCTCAGAGCAAGGATTCTCAGGGGTGCTGTAAAATTGACGGACAATGTATATCTTTGGTTGACAGTTTTTTTTACCGGGGTGGGTGAAACTTAACCCTAGATACAGGGCTGAATTTGCCCATGGGATGTTACGTTTTATTTTGAATTGTTTCAGAATGTATTGGTGGAGAATTTTGTTCCTATAACAATGGACAATCTGGCCAGTATTGTGAACACGGGTGCTGTATGTATACCGATACTATATGCTGCAATGAAACAAATCTGTACGTATACATTAGGCTACAGGGCAACACAGGCTCTGAATTACCTTCAGTTGTATTCCATCGGAGTAAGCTCTGAATTACAGCCATTCAAATTCAGTCTCTGCATTGCTTTAATGTTATTCAAACTGAGTAGGCTCTGAATTACTCCGAGGTACATCAAAATACCTAATAGTTAGAAAATTACAAATGGAGACAAACATTGGAATATTTTCATTATCTGTAAGGACAGCAATTTTTGTATTTTCAGAGCTGAAAGACTTGTATATGGTGTTGTGTCCGCACTAATCGTTATTTTGGTTATAGTTCTTGCCATTTGTTATTGTCGTAGACGTAGAGAAAGACGTAATCGTAACAGACCAATAGATACCAGTAATTCCCGATCTAGTAAGTTTGAGTTATCAAGTATTATAAACCTGTAACGGTAAATCTCTTTGATCTTTAGGGTATATTCTATGCCCGGAATAACTTGCGGTCTGAAAGTCGGGGGCGGCTTTGGATATATACAGGGAAATTTAGGGTTATTCTTCTGAAAGTTTTTCTTTAAACCTGTAACAGGTTATTCTTCCAGGGTAGAGCTTTTTTTCCCTATAAGAAAACATGATCTAAGGTTTTTCTTGCGGGAATTCTGGGACATTCTCATCTTGCGTACATGTAAACATAGACGGTTTATAAGCAAGATAAAGTCCTCGACTTCGGTTATGCTGAGGTTTTTCTTTTTCTCGGGTTATTTTCTTGTCTTTCTTTCCCCAGCATAACCTCAGTCTCGTGCTTTATCCTACACATAATGGTCTCAGCACAATACTTTTTTTGTCCGCACTGACAATTACAGAGTGTGATGATTAACTGGCCATCCCGCTAGAGATAACCCTGACATGGTTCTTCTTCATTCCAGTCTTCGATTCCCCGGTTGTACGTGACAAGGAGTAGGGTCGCCTGTCCAGCCTCGTGTGTGTTTTCTCCGGGTCCTCCGGTTCCCCCCCCCCACTGCTAAAGACCCCTATGCGCAAGCGAATTATTGAAATAAAATTAAACCATATGTTAGTCCCGAAATGATCTAATTTGTGTGGAGTGGACGTTAAACCCCATCGCTCTCTCTCTTGTATTTTCTGACAAGGACAGCTGTCTAGTCCTTTGGATGAGACGAAAAACCGAGGTCCCGTGTATATATTGGAATGCACGTAAAAGATCCCCTGGCAGTTGGAATTCGATATAAGAGTAGGCGATAGTGCCGCTGCCCGGGCAAAATTTCCCTCATAGCACACAGTATGGCGTATGCCCGTCTTCATTAGCCCAGTATAGGAGCAGAACAGTAGGACGTTAAACCCCATTTCATTTCATTTCATTTCTCTTGTATTTTAGTCTAAAAGGTGTTTATCAGGCGGTGCACGGGTAGAGCCCCCCGACGTGTCCTTCGATAAACCGGCAGTAGTATAACTCCAAAACCAAACGTTCGCCCCCCCCCCCCCCCCGAAGACTCGAGGGTTAGATTAGATCTATTGGTCAAAGGTCACGATATGTAAACAGGGCTAACACTAGCCCCAATGCTTACCCTAAGCTACAATCTCGCCAACAATCACGTGCCTTAACCTTATTTACATCTCAGCGACCTTGACGAAAATTGAGCTGGCCTTAACAAATAGACCTAGCCCCGGCTCGAGTTACTCGTACACTCCAAATTTCAACGTTGGGGCAGCCATAAATACGCATATTATATGCCTTCTGCTTCTCGCCACTTTGGGTTTTTTCTGCAAGATGATGTCTTTTATTTTACAGACAGGATTCAGACAGTTAGTGAGCAGTGCGGTGATACATATCCACCGTCTTACTCAACCACACGACCACCAATAACACGCCCACACCTAGGCAGACCATCACCGCCATCGTTAAGTAGTCCACTACACCCAGATAGGCCACCACCACTGTCATTAGGTAGTCCACTACACCCACCAGACAGACCATCCCCGCCATCGTTAACAAGTCCACACCCAGCCGAACCACCGCCAACTTATGAAACCGTTATGGCACAAGAGAGACAGACGTTCGCAAAATCAACATCTCGTAAACATTTAAAGTGACTCGAAAACTTTAGACGTGTTTACCATTCACGAAAACATTCAATTTTCATTTACCAACTAATTAATTAATGATTGAAGTTTCCTCACGTGTGTGAAATATTTAGTCGCGAGTCGAACTTTATAAAGCTAGTTTGGGCGATTTCAAATAATTACGAATTGTCATATGAATATTACGTATAATGCTGAACTCCCAAAGATGCTACATCATAGCTGAACTCTGAAGATGCGGTATCATTTGAATATAAGGTATAATGCTGAACTCGAAGATGCTGCATCATTGATTATTACGCACAGTACTAGCTGAACTCTAAAGATGCTGTATCATTGATTATTACATCTAATGCTGGTCTCCAAGATACTGCACCATTTGATTATTATAGATCTGGGATGCTGCATCTTACATTATAACATGTCAGTGAATACCAAAAAGCTATCTCCAATTTATTACCATGGAGACACGCAATTTCTAATTAACAAAACGATTATAACTACTAATAAGTTGATGTGTGTGAAACTTTCATGAAGAACGGAGTGCATGGCAATATCCCTCCCTTCACTTTATCTGTTGCTATAAAGTAATCCAGATCGAAACACTCTAAATATTCATGCACTCTCTATAATAACAGAGCAAATTAAGATTTTCCATAGAAAAATTGTGATTTCTGGTGAATGCACTCACACAAAATAATGAATTGTCGTAAGTTCTTTTAAAAAAATTGACACAAAAGATTATTTTTATGTATATCTATGTTTTATGATATTTTAGGAAGCTCCTTGCAACATAAATTTTAAGATAACTGGAAATCGAAAATATATAACTAAAATAACAGTTAATTAAAATGTATTTATTTCTGGATATAATTCATATTATAAAATGCAAGTGGACTATCACCATAATATAAAACTTTTATAGAAATAACAGAATCATTATAATCTATATCTGTACTTTAATCAAATTTATCATATACTTTTAGAACTGTATAAATGGACACTTGTAAACTCTTTTGACCCTGGTTGAAATTATAATGGAAAAGAAGGGCGTTCGTTATTGGCCTGCTTTCCATGTACGGTAAATGTAATGGTCAATGAAATGAAATGAAATGGGGTTTAACGTCCTACTGTTCTGAACCGACTGGGCTAATGAAGAACATCAATGTAATGGGACTATTGAAGTTCATTGTTTGTTGCGTCGTACAAGCATGGGTTCTCTTCCACTAAGTTAATCAAATGCTTGCAAATGGCAGATTTTTTGGACATGGTGTTATTATAATAACTAAATAAAAGTGGCAACAGAGAAATCCTCAGCTATGACGTCATTTACGTGGGATTCCCCAAACGTTTCAGCGATTTTCTGTGCATGTGGAAATATAAAACATCGCACGTCACAAACGCCTATTTAAGCGGACCTTTATGAAGAACAACCTGATTAAAACACAGATCCTATTTCGTTTCGTTTTTTAAAGTTCAAAATTTCGTTTTGCTTGTCTTAACGACACTAGGATCTGGAAGAGTTGTTATATTACCGGCGTTTTGGTTTAAGTGAGGGATTAGCCAATGAAACGGTCTGTTACAGAGTTTTCTTGGCCTGCAATCCACGGAACTGTGGTAAACCACTAGAAACGTCAACCCAGATTTATTAATCAATGTCTGACGTCAGGATCAAAAGCCACTTGCAAGACCCCTGATTCGACCTTCCGGTACATCCGGTAAGATCTTTATGTAGTCTAGGCCATCCCATTGAAAGTATAATAAAACGAAACGAAATACAAATGTGTATTTTAATCAGATAGGAAGACGAACTGGATATGGTTTTTTAAGCAGATTCTTGTTTTAGTTTATAAGAATAAACACTCCCTCTCTCAATCTGTTGTTTAGATGATGTTCTACGACGTTTGGCTCTGGGTTCACTCCCCTGTTCATCAACAGGTCCATAACCCCCACCACCAGGCGTCTCCAGGTGAAACACGTCCTACAATTAAAGAGACATTATGGGAGATTAGATAACAGGTTGACTGTCCTCATTATAATAGTTCAAAAATAGATAACGTAAATAGAATATGCTGAAAATGTCGGTCAAATTGCTCTACTCTGAACTGAGATATTAGGTTTTTACTCTTAAGCCTAGCCTCGATCACCATTACTAAAGTCGGTACGATAAAAACATAGTCTCGATTATCCATTTCTTAATTTAATCATCAATGGGCGTTAAACAGTAGATCGGATTCAAATCCAGTGAAAATTCGACACATAAGATGGTATCGGAAGTTGATTATAGTCTAGATAAGTTAAATAATGTCTAATGAATATTTTATATAACATTTCAGGCCTAAAGAAAAGACCTGCAATAGGCAGATTTAACTCAGTGTATGTTATGTTTACAGGACAATGAAGAAACAAATGTTTAAACTTGTCTGTGGTTACCCACCTGGTAGAAGCGGACTCGGTAGAAGCGGGTGTTAACTCCACTAATGCACATAAAAGAAAATGAAATGAACTGGGCTTCAAAGTCTAAGTTTATTGCATCAATTGGGCTATTAAATAGGGCAAACCAGTGGTGGTGAGCTAAGGGGTAGTTTTGTTCTTTTTGTGTATGACAGATGTGAAACTGGGTAGAACACCGTTACAAAATTGTATATTGATTATTAGATATGGTGACCATTCAGTGCAGAGATCTATTCTCAAAGGGGTGAGTTCTCTGTGTGCAGAATGGGTAGTAAGGGATGAATTGTTTGAATAGCATACTTACCCCAGGTTTGACATCAACTGAGTTTTTACCACCAAGATTAACAATACGGCCATCTTTATAATACATGAGATTAACACCACATTTACCTGGCTCTCCTCCTGAAAAACATAATACACAATGGATACCGAACTGACTCATGACCCAAAACTAGTTCAATTCCGTTTAGTATTTCCCTGTATTGTCCAAGAAAGTTCATCAGGATTGGTTTAACCCTGGTCAGTGGTACAGGATGGAGGGTCTGACAAGAACAGCTGTCTAGTTGTTCGGATGGGACAAAAAACGAGGTCCTGTGTATACATTGCCATGCACATAAAAGATTCCTTGACAGTTGGGATTCGATATAAGAGTAGGCCATAGTGCCGCTTCCCGGGCAACATTCCCCTCATAGCACACTGTATGGCGTATGCCCGTCTTCATTAGCCCAGTTGGAGCAGAACAGTAGGACGGTAAATCAAATGTTAAATCACCAATCTGAGTACATTTGGGAGATTTGGATGGCCCAAAGGTTAGCGTGTGTACACTGTATCATAAAGTCTGTCAACTTGTGTGGTTTAGATTCCCCGGTTGTACATGACAATGAGTAGAGTCGCCTGTCCGACCTCGTGGGTTTTCTCCGGGTTCTCTGGTTTCCTCCTGCTAAAGACCAATACGCGCAAGCGAATTATTGAAATAAAATTGAACTATATGTTAGTCCCGAAATTACCTAGTTTGTGTCGAGTGGACGTTAAACCCCATTTCTCTCTCTCTCTCTGAGTACATTTTAGCGTGGATTAAGTCGTGATCAACTTGATATTGTCAGAAATACGCAAATAACAACCAGCGGCTTCAATATATCAAAATCTCAGATTGTTAAAAAATACATTTCAATACATACCATTCATTCCATAAGGTACAAATACTCGTCTTTCTGTTAGAACTGATAGTGTGAAGGGTCTACGGAATAATAATTCTCTAACAACACCATCGCCGCCACAATATAAACCTTGACCTCCGGTACCAGGGTTGAGATGGAAACATTTCACTACCACAGGATATCTATAGACATATAGTGGAAATAAAAACAAGTTCAATAGCTACTTGACACAAACACAGAGCCTCGTTTAACATGGTGACTAGGCGGTGGCGGTGCCGAGCACTGGCCAAACTGTGCCGCCTACTGGGCCCAAAAGTTGAAGACTGGGCGGCAATATACATATCTTATGAAAATCGCTGACAAGGTTTTTCCCATGTGCCAATACTATATCATGGTGCGTAGGTTTACAAAATCTTCTTTCTGATTGTTTTATGGGTATATTTCTGTCTGCGGGTCAGCCGCCGCAGTGTTTTGATCTCGATTTTATAGGGTATTAATTAATCTATGGTTTAACAAGATGCCAAAACTAATAGGGTATCAAATCTCCGAAACTATTTTTAAGTGCTCAGAAATTGAGTCTAAGGGAGTCAATTTTCAAAATTTTCTGGGGGAGGGCCCCACAGACCCCCAGCGCGTGCTCTCACCTGTGGTGCTCGCGGATCGGGCTTCGACCGACATTGCCGCATACGACCACATCCTTAGACGAGGCTCTGCACAAACATGAACAATTCGGGACTAACATATGGTTCAATTTCATTTCAATAATTCACTTGTGCATAGGGGTCTTTAGCAGTGGGAGGAAACCAGAGAACTTGGAGAAAACCCACAAGGTTGGACAGGCGACCTTAATCCTTGTCACGTACAACCGGGGAAACCATGTTTGCGATAATCTTTAAATGACCTTAGTTTATGTCAAATGGACCTTAAGCCCCCATTTCTCTCCCTGTAATAAAAAACCATCTGGCAAGTTGAATGAAATGACAGATTGTAAAACTGAAATCGACATCTACAGATATTTGACATATTATTGATATTAACCCCATCTACATAACAAACATTTTATATATACATTATACTTATACTCAATATAACATTAACATAGCTGATAAAACATGTAGAATAACGAACAGTAGAACAATAACACTAAAAACATCCTGCACAAACATTCTTCCTAAATTAACCCTAATGCTTTCATCATTATGACATTTTCTAATGCAGTTTTCTTCACAGTGCATTACATGTTTTCTGGAATTGTTTTAGAGTTTTTCTAGTTTTTCTCGTATCGGATGACAACTATTCATACCTTCAATAAAAGCGTGTTTACCTTTTTTCGACAATTTCTGGATCTGTAATTCTAGTGTTGGTCATGTGCGTGTGTACGCCACCACGACCATCCCATGTTGGACCCTGAACAAAAGGTTTAGAGATTTGAAAAGATCAGCAATCTAATAGATCTAATATGAAACTATTTTTCACATTTTTTTTCAATCTGATTAAAACACAGATCCTATGTTTCCTTTTTGTGTAGTTCAACATTTCGTTTAACTTGTCTTTACTACACTAGGATCTAGAAGAGTTGTTTTATAACCCGCGTTCTGGTTGATGTGAGGGATTAGCCAATGAAACAGCCTGTGGGTAAACCACCTGAAACATCAACGTTGGCTGATTAATCAATGTCTAATATCATAGGGTCAAAAGCCACTTGTATGACCTTTGACGCAACCTCCCACTACAACCGGTCAGAATTTCATGTAGTATAGAAAAACGAAATGAAATATAGATCTGTATTTTAATCTGCTGATTGATTTTTTTTAGCTACATTTTTGAGGCCCCCCTCAAAAGTTGTAGTTACCAAACCCATTTTTTTTTGTCAGTAATTAAGCTTTAGCAGGAATCAAATGCCAGAGGGGTCCCAGAACTGACTTAAGTCTTGATTTCTTTAAATGTTTAGGTCTTCTCTTCAGCTGGAGCTGGGGTTACTATACTGAGCGCCATGGAAAACGCATCACTTTTTTTTCCCAAATATTTTATTACTAGGTGGTTTTGTATGTATAATATTATGCAATACTATGAACTATTGTTTCACACAATGCTCCCAAACGCAAAAAATATCGGCCCGTGTGCAAAAAAAAAAATGCACGAGATGCACATGAAAACCCCAATATTCACGTACAGAATTGTGTGTGAGCCCTTTAAAAGCATGTTTTCAACTTAATGTGCAGTACATGAACTGTGAAACGTCAATCTGTCGTAATTTTTTGTTGGACGTGTGAAGGAATCGAGCTAGAGATGCCGAGACTTATTGAAAATCAACGGAATGAAGCCATGGGAAGGTCCAGGGCTGGCATGTCTACACGTGCTATTGCCAGACACTTCAATTGTCATCAGTCCACTATTGTAAGGTTGGTGGAACGTGTTCGAGTTACTGGATCAACACGTGACCGTCAACGTCCTGGTCCACAACGCGTTACAACCCAGGCTCAAGACCGCTACATCCGGGTCACTCATCTGCGTGACAGATTCCGCCCAGCGACTCGAACAGGTGCAGCAGTTGTCAGAAGAGAAGGACCAGTAAGTGCCAACACCGTAAGACGTCGTCTAAGAGAAGTAGGACTCCATGCTAGACCACCTTATGTTGGAGCTATCCTCAGGAATCATCACCGTCAGCGGCGTTTGATATGGGCTCAAGGACACCAGACATGGAGAAGAGTAGTCTGGCAAAGTGTGCTCTTCAGTGATGAGAGTCGCTTTCATCTTTATCACGCTGATGGCCGTCAACGTGTGTGGAGACATCTTGGGGAACGTCTTGCAGACTGCTGCGTCTTTTATACGAATCAATGGGGTGGGGGAAGTGTAATGGTGTGGGGAGGCTTCACATTTCATCACCGGACCGCCCTACACATTTGCAGGGATCGCGTTAATGCTGTAGCCTATCGTGATGATGGCCCGTGGAGGACACACGCGCTTCTGACATCTGTGTCATATTTTTGGTTTTGACCCCTCTGACTTTGTACCCTTGATTACAGATTAAACATCCATAAGTGTACAAATGTGTTGTTATTGATGTGTTCCCATTTGAATATTGTTCACAATATGAAGCAAATAAATAAGATATGTTTACAGGATCATTTTGTTAATCGAAAAACTAAGTGATGCGTTTTCCATGGCGCTCAGTATATATAGGCTATAGAAAGAGGAAATTCAAGGTGCACTATAACTCTTATTATAACTGGGTGTCCGGGTAATATCCCAGTTATGATAGGACATTTTAGATTTAAATAGTCATATACTCTATTATAGCTTGGCGACAAGGTAATATCCAAGCTAGAATAGGAAATTTTAGATGTAAATAGCTATATACTGTATTATAACTGGGTGTTATATTAACTTGGTAATATCCGTAGTAGAATAGACTTTGGGGCCATGATAGGCAATTGGAGTCATTACTAGAATGTTCAGAGCTCAAATCTAGACGTAGGCCAAGATGAACCTTGGAATTTTTCGTGCTTGCTTTCAATTTTGCCTCTTTCCTCCCAGCGTTGTACACATGACAACAGAATTAAATGTACATTACCACAACACCTATATATGGTTGGTTCGGTTCCTTAGCCTTTCTACAATTTCTTTATCTGAAATACTTGCAAAACATGTTTCCGACAGTCAACTTTCATAAACTTGTCAGGCTCCTTTGGCATGATTGCTTTGGGGTTGCTCAAAAGAAGCTGTGGGAACCCCTGGCATAAAACAAGACAACTTACAGCTCCTGCCCCACCAGCAACTGTTTCATAATATCCAACATCTTTATCACCAAATGTTATATTATTCATACAACCCTGAAATAATAGAGTTTTATTATTATTCAAATCTCAAACAAACTAGGGGGGTTGGATGGCTGAATGGTTAGCGTTCACGCGCTTTATCATAAAGTCTGTCATTGAGTCGACTGGCGTGGTTTCGAAACACCGGTTGTACGTGACAAGGAGTAGGGTCGCCTGTCCAACCTCGTGGGTTTTCTCCGGGTCCTCCGGTTTCCTCCCACTGCTAAAGACCCCTGTGCGCAAGCGAATTATTGAAATAAAATTAAACCATATGTTAGCCCCGAAATGACCTAGTTTGTGTCTAGTGGATGTTAAATTCTCTCTCTCTCTCTCTCTCTCTCCATCAAAATGTAACAAGAAAACATTGAACACATGCTATAAATTATATTTCTGAAATTACAGATAATTTCAAACATTCTAATTCTATTCAAGCATTTCCTTCACTCTTTTTTTATGATCCTTTTTTATGATATCCACCTCTCTTCCAAAAGCCTTTAATGCTCTGTTCCTGTCTATTTTTTACATGCAAATTGTTGGGGTTTTCTTTTTTTAAAGACAAACTCAGCCTTTATACAGGAGATCGAAAAACATGTATGGTTACCAGATGTTTCCTTCATTTTTTCTTTCTACTGATTTTTTTTTTTCTCGAACAATTAAGGTATTGTAAAATCGTTTAACACGACACTAAACATTATATAATAGGTTACAGAAATTAGTTTCTAACAAATTTGCCTTTCACAAAAGACATTCCAATGACTTAGATCGTGTAGTATTCTGTGGTATTTACGGCTGGCTAACGCGTAGTTAATTGTTTAACTTGATTGTCGTCTATTGTAAATCATTGCAACGTTCTTTTAAAAAGCCGATTTGCACCCAGAACAACAGAGAAAATAAACATCCACCAATATGGAGATCTGTAATACAGATGAGATATAGTAAAAACACACAATACTTGTAGATCAGGTCTAGCACAGCATATCTAACAAACTCTTATCTTGTTTTTAGGAATTGTTTTTGCGACCAACTGCTTGAAGTGTTTTTACTAAAACAATTTATGCTAGCGTTACCAAGTAGGCAATGAATTCATTCTTCGCATGTAGCCTAACAACCGTTAACTAACAATTGCAAATTAATTTCTCTATAAAATACGTTTTTTAGGGTTTTAAATGTTTCTGCAACTGGGATCTGACTGTAAATCAACAAGTAATTCTTCTGTTATATCGTGTTTTCTTGGGGGTTTTTTGTGGGCAATAAAAGCTGTCTGGGATATAAATGTAGTATTTGGTTATAGTGCATAGGCTAACAACCGCTGCAAGGTCTGTTTTTTTGTAATCAATATTACTAAATACAAACAGCTGAATCCTAAATAATGGTAGTAGTAGTGTAATGACTGGTCTTCCTGGAATGTGTTTTTTCCTCACTAAGAGAGAGAGAGAGAGAGAGAGATGGAGAAAGAGAGAGAGAGAGAGAGAGGGTTTAATGTCCACTCGACACAAACTAAGTAATTTTGGGACTAACATATGGTTCAATTTTATTTCTATAATTTGAATGCGCGCAGGGCTCTCTAGCTGTGGAAGGAAACCGCAGGAACCAGAGAAAACCCACGAGATTGGACAACCAACCCTACTCCTTGTCACATCCAAGTGGGGAATCGAAACCACGCAACTTGACTCAGTGAGAGACCTTATGATCAAACACGGACTTGTTGATCATTAAGCTACCCAACCCCCTTTTTCGTCAATGAACACTAAGCAATGATGCAGGGGCCTTTTTTTGCGACTTAATGAACAATCACTAATAATTTTAAAAAAAAATCTGTAAGAGTCTGAATTTGAATTTTAGAAGCACAAGTTTCCTGGAGAAAGACAGACTTGGGTCAAAGGTTATCACCAATCCACAATAAAGTATAAATCTATTTTTTTTAGCTACAGTGATGGGGAAGGGGAGAAAATGGTTGCCCCCCACCCCCACCCTACAATTGGATCTTTCTAGTCACAAGCTTGAGGGCTATCATATGTTTCAGAATGGATTCAGCATATCCTGCCCACACAATATCCTTACTAGTACAGCAGAAAAGTATTAAAGTTATCAAACATAGGTTAACAACCATCGGGTACCAATAAACAGACAAGTATTGAAGCTATCAGGCATATATTAACAATGCTTATGTACCAATACCGCTGATAAGTATTGAAGTTACTAGGCATAGGTAAATAACGGTTGAGTACCAATACAGGAGACAAGTATTGAAGTTATCGGGCATAGATTAACAACCATCGAACACCAATATAGCAGACAAGTATCAAAGTTATCAGACATAGGTTAACAACCGTTAAGTGCCAATAAAATATAAAATTCGTTATAAAGATTTTAGTGCTATAAATCTTACTATAACAGGCAATCTGGTTAAAACACAGATCCTATTTCGTTTTTTTTTTTATAGTTCAAAATTTTGTTTTACTTGTCTTTACTACACTAGGACCTGGAAGAGTTGTTATGTAATCCGTGCTCTAGTTGATGTGAAGATTAGCCAATGAAATGGTCTGTTAAAGCAAAGTTTTGGCGTGAGGTGCATGGAACTGTGGGTAACCCTCTAGATACGTCAACGCTGATAGGTTAATCAAATGCCGAACGTCACGGCGTCAAAAGACGCTCGTATGACCTCTGAGGCGATCTTCCACTACAACCGGTCAGATCTTCATGTAGTAAAGGCCCTTGAAAGTGTAAAAAAACGGAATGAAATATAGAATTACAACCTTTAAGTGACGATAAAATATCAAATTCTTTATAGAGATTTTTAGTGCTATAAGTATTACTATAGCAGGGAGCAAGAGTATAAAACAATACCATTGGTGCTATATGACATTTCTTAATGTCTGTTTTAGTAAGAGTGTTTTTTCATCAATGAAAACTGTTTTATGGTGTGATTTACTGGTGAGGAACACGTTTATTTGATTGTTTTAACAGATGTATTACGAACTCGGTATAAGAAGTGTTTTTTTTATATAAATAGATTATTTATGTTTTATGCCACCAGTTGAGATCTAGAGATAAAGATGTAACTCTCTTCATGATCTGTGTCAACATTAAAATCAGTGATCATCATTTGCATTTTTCCTGAAAATATATCGAAATTTTCACTGATTGATCCCAGCTACAACGTACTCAGATTGATTATTTAAAGATGCATTATGGGAGATTAGATAAAGAGTTGACAGTTTGCGCTATAACAGTTACAAAAAAGATAATGTAAAGAGAATATGCTAAAAATTTCAGTCAAATTGCTCCACTCTGAACCAAGTTATTAGCTTTTGAATTTTAGACCAGTCTGGATCATCACTACTAAAGTTGGTACGATAAAAAAACAAAGTCTTGATTGTCCATTTTGATGTTAAATCATCCATCACAAAATGTATTCAAATTCAGTAAATATCACCCGCTAGCGATGCCATCTAGAGTTGATTATGGTCTGGATAAGTTAATTAATGTCTAATTAATAATTTAGATAACATTTCAGGCCTAAAGAAAGACCTGAAATAGGCAGATTTAGCTCTTGAATAATGTATTTTTAATGTTAAAAAAAAAAAAAAAAAAAATATTGATGGTAAATAATCTTCCGGTTTGGATTCAATCAGATTTGAAATGCATGTACAATCTTCCTAGAACATAATATAATTTACTAATTACCTGTGAGGCAGCACACACACCAAATGCTTTAAAAACAACATCTACAATACGCTGTGATGTTGTCACGTTGCCTCCAACCACAGCAGCATCTTCAGAAGGATCTAGTAAACAACCTTTAGGTATAACAGTTTTTACTGGTTTCAGACAACCCTGTTATTAATAAAAACACATTTCAATATTTAGTAGTTTTATGGTTGTTGATATCTATTTATGGTTGTTGATATCTATTTATGGTTGTTGATATCGATCTATGGTTGTTGATATCATCAATTTAAAGTACAGCGTATATTACCTAAAAATTATGTTAAGGTTCTGCTCTGCTTCCCGATCCAGAAAATTGTACGTGACAAGAGAGAGAGAGAGAGAAATGGGGTTTAATGTCCATTCGCTACAAACTAGGTCACTTCGGGACTAACACATGGTTCTATTTTATTTTAACAGAAATTTCGGAACTAACTTATGGATCAATTATCAACAATTCGCTTGCACGTAGGTTTCTTTATCAGTTGGAGGGAACCGGAGGACACAGAGTTGACTCAATGACAGACCTTATGATACAGCGTGCACACGCTATCCATTCGGCCATCCCCCCACCCCCGACCCCAAGTTGTAGAAAGAGTGAGTATATGTTGTCTTGGCATCCATTGCTACTTACTGCTAAATGACACTGTATATTTGACTAAAAATTCCAGATAAATTAATGGTTGTACAAAGTAGTAGAGATCAGCCCCTGAATCTCCAGTACCGGTGGGAATTATATCACCAAAAAATTATATGCATAAATAAAAACAATATCACAGTAAGTAAAATTAAAAATAAAATAAATCTTTTACGAATATAAATATTTAAATATAAAAATGAAATGATATATACAATTAAACTTTATGCTAAAATCCTGTCTCTTTTAAAAAATGGGGGGTTGGATGGCTGAATGGTTAGCACATGTGCGCTGTATCATAAGGCCTGTCATTGAGTCAACTGGCGTGCTTTCGAATCCCCAGTTGTACATTACAAGGAGTAGGGTCGTCTGTCCAACCTTGTGGGTTTTCTCTGGGTCCTCTGGTTTCCTCCCACTGCTAAAGACCCCTACGTGCAAGTGAATTATTGAAATAAAACTGAACTATATGTTAGTCTCAAAATGACCTAGTTTGTGTTGAGTGGACGTTAAATCTAATTTCTCTATCTCTCTCTCTTTTAAAAAGTCCATACTTGATTAAACATACATTACGTAAGATTTAGATAAAGAACTAGCCATTCTTGCTATAATAGCTCGAAAGTCGATGATGTAAAATGAATAATTTTAAAATTTCATTCAAATTACTCTATTGCAAGCGAAGATATTAGCCTTTGAAGGTTTGACAGACGTATGCAATAATTTCAACCACCGTACTGGTTGATCGAAGCTAAGTCTCGATCCTCCATATTTGATTAAATCAAAGTATCGCTGAACCATTCTAATCTATTTAATATCGGAGAAATCTGATGGCATCGAGAGTTGATTAAGGCCTGGATCAGTTAATTAATGTCTAATTAATACTTTAGAAAACATTTCAGGTCTAAAGAAAGACCTGCAATAGACAGATTTAGCTCTTGCATAATGTATATTTAAAGAACCATGTAGATTGAGTTTATCATTTGTTATAAGATACCTGATTAAGAGGAACATTATGTCCAACCATACATCTTAAACAATAAATCAAACCAGACAGAGTTACAGCCCTTGGTGCATTAGCATTACCATGAACTTCATAACCAGTGGATGAAAAATCAAATATGGCTGTCCCCTGCAGAAAGTGATTTAATACACATTTTATTACAGGTCACCGGAAAATCTTCAATTTTTTAAAAAATAACGTAAGTAATTAAGTCAACATAATTATTTGCATTATTTAAAAAATTTCTGAAGCTTTTCTTCGGTGATAAAATAAAATGAAATGAAATGGGTTTGACGTCCTACTGTTCTGCTCCGATTGTGCCAATGAAGATGGACATACGTCATACAGTAATCTATGAGGGAAATTTTGCCCGGATAGTGGCACTACGGCCTACTCTTATATCGAATTCCAACTGTCAAGAGATCTTTTATGTGCACGCCTATGTGTACATGGGACCTCGTGTTTTTGTATCATTCCCTGCCAGGCCCTCTGTCCCACACCACGGGCAAGGGAGAACCACGCCGGAAAATCCTGATGAACTTTCTTGGCCAATGTAGTGATTAAACCGACAACCTCCAGGGTAGGGTGCCAACTTCCTACTCGCCGAGTCACAGTGGCTCCTTTGAGTTGGTAATAAGTCTGCGCCTTAAGCACTGAGCCACCATGGCTCCTTTGGGTTGGTAATAAGTCAGCGCCTTACGCTCTGAGCCACCGTGGTCCTTTGGGTTGGTAATAAGTCAGCGCCTTATGCACTGAACCACCGTGACTCCTATCCAAGTGCAACATCAAAGAATCGTCATTACAAATCTATTAATGATTTTTGTGGAAAAAACGGCAGGATATTAGAAAGTGATATTATTATAAGAAATTCACATATGCAAACTATTTACTGACTCTAATTTGATTTGCACAAGTAACCCAAAAAACATAACACAACTCCTTACAGATGAATCTGACATTTTCTTGTGATGTTAAAAAAAACAAAAAAATGTATTCTCAATTTTCCCGAATACAATCTATTTAAGATCTTGTTAAGAATTTTAAGTTTTGTAACAGTCTTTAAACACATTTAAACATCTTTAAAACACCGGTGTCGAAATACCATAAATTCATCTCGTAAATTTAATACATACCTTCTGTTCGTCAATTTCAACATCCAGTCCTATTTTACTACCATTATCCATAAAATCTTCTGCATGTAGCTTTGTGTGTCCAGTCCTTTCTTTTGTTTTCTTGGCTATTTCTTTTAGCATATCTCTGACAGCAATCTCTGCATTGCTCTATAAAAATGTAATTACTGATCTAAATTTAAACAATGTATAAATATATAAAACTCGACTGACAGAGATCCATTTTCACAGACCTGACCCGTCGATTTTGAAAACCATTTCAAGTAGTTTAGTCTAACTTATTGTAAATGGTTGGAATGGTGGAAATTACTTCCCAATTGTTGAATATTTGAAGCAGTTTCACATACATGCCGTTTTTTTTTAGGAAATTCCTTGCATTTTTTTTTGACGTTCAATTAAGTAGGAAATACCAAAGAGATCTTAAGTTTAGTAGGATTGTATCTATTTAAATTAAAGGGTCTTGAACAGATCTGGCACACTCAAATCATTTAAAGATACACTATCACTTTTGGCAGAAAAATATATATGTGATTAATTTTAATATTCAAAATTATCTAAGATAGAGAGAGAGAGAGAGAGAGAGAGAGAAATGAAATGGGGTTTAACGTCTTACTGTTCTGCTCCTATGCTGGGCTAATGAAGACGGGCATATGCCATACAGTGTGCTATGAGGGAAATTTTGCCTGGGCAGCGGCACTATCGCCTACTCTTATATCGAATTCCAACTGCCAGGGGATCTTTTACGTGCATTCCAATATATACATGGGACCTCGGTGTTTCATATCATCCGAAGGACTAGACAGCTGTCCTTGTCAGGCCTTCCGTTCTGCACCACTGACAAGGGGAAACCACGTCGGAAAATCTGGATGAACTTTCTCGGACAATGCTGGGATCGAACACCCGACCTCCAGGCTAGCGAGCCAGCAAGAGAGAGAGAGAGTCATTTTGGGACTAACATATGGGTTTAATTTTATTTCAATAATTCGCTTACGTGTGGGGGTCTTTAGCCGTGGGAAACCGGAGGACCCAGAGAAAACCCACGAGTTTGGACAGGCGACCCTACTCCTCGTCACGTAGAACCGGGAAATCGAAAAGACGCCAACTGACTCAACAACAGAACTTACGATACAGCGCACACGCGCAAACCATTCGGCCATCAATGGTCTGGAGATTTGATTATGGAATTGGTATGTGAATTACGTGAATAATGCCTCGGTGAATCGAAACCATGCCATTGACTCCTCCACGCTCCAATTTGCCGCACCCCCCCCCCCCCCCGATCGATAAAAGGAATATCCGTTCAAAATTGGTTCAATTTAGCTCAAGTCAAATTGTTTCATTGGCATTTAGTAACTGAACTGGAATATACAAGTGACAATTTTTATGTCATATTGCATGTTGTTATTAGTTTGGATGGGACGTAAAACTGAGTCCCTGTGTATACATTGGCGTGCTCGTAAAAGATCCCTTGACAGTTGGGATGCGATATAAGTGCACCAGGCTTGTAAATTTTTACACTCGTTATCAAACTTAAACAGTCAGCTTTAAACTGGACACAAATTGGATGATTTGGGGTGATTTTAAAATTTTTACAAATTTTTAAATAAAGATTTGATATTAAATTAAACAAATGGTAGATAGACAATGATACCAGGGTTACAGTGATACTTACTTGTATATAGGCCATGTAAGCATTAACAACCTTTAAACTATATTCATTAATTAATTCCGATACCAACTGAATTCCCTGTAATAAACAGTATGTAATATATTGGATACCAACTGAATTCCCTGTAAAATAGTACATATCGTATTTGACATGAAAGGAATGTAGTTGTGATAAAACTCTCATCCACAAAATACTTCACTCATATGTAGGGTGACCCACCATAAATAAATATCTCCATATATCTCGACAATTACGCCACAATATTTATATATATGCCAAGCCTCAAATCAGTTTCACACAATTATAGTCACTAAATAAACGATCATGTTGTACTTAATAAGCTATGACCATTAATCATGTATAAATAATAGACTGAAAACTGGTTCCAAGAGTCGTCCATAACATCCAGACACTTTTGAGTAAAAGATAGGTTACGTGCCCTTGTTTTGAAATTAGTCTTGCTTAACCAGTCTATCGACCATTCTACGTCTGATTGACAGGTCGGGATAATCAAGACTACTTTTTTACGAAACCTAACAGAAAGCTAGAACAAGAAATTGAATTTAGAAATAAGCACGTTAGGTAGCTCAACAATCGTTTTAAGAAGATTGTAAAAGTAAAATGAAACTACTCTTAGTATCATGTTCCTGTCTAACCCGAGTGATTCAGAGATATTATTTGTACTAAACCAAAAGATGTCGCTCTTAACGGTACAGTTAATGATAAAGCGATTTAAAAAATGAAACGAACATAATTTCTAAATCTGCTGTAATAACAAAGAATCTTAATTTTACTGCTAATCAAAATCGTCAACAATAATTTTTTTACGGCTGTAATAGTTGATAGATTTGTACAGAATTGCACGTGCCATGGCTATTTATAGTATTATACTGTCAGAAAGTTGGTCTCGGCACGGCGAATGTGTACGCTTCAGTGGTAGTCTCGAACTATCAGCGGTGGACTGTATTGCTGTGAGTACATGGGTCACCCTATCATATGGTAAATTTCATTTTATGGATTGTATCTGCAATGCTAGGGGGAGTATTTTGCCCGGACAGCGGCATTACCAACTACTCCTTGAATTCCAACTGCCAAGGGCTCTAATGATGCATACCCGTGTGAGGGCTCTTCTCTGCTCCTGCCTGGATTCGAACACAAGACATTCTAGACAAGTCTTGAGCCTTTGTCACTCAACTGTCACGGCCCCATATTGAAGTGTGAAAAAATATGAAATAATGTCAATCCGATTAGAATACAGATCTATATTTCGTTTCGTGTTTTATACTTTCGATGGCTTACACTAAATGAAGATCTGACCAGTTGTACTGGAAGGTTGTGTCAGGGGTCGTACGAGTGGCTTTTGACATTATGACATCAGCGTTGACATTTCTAGTGGTTTACCTACAGTTCCATGCATCAAATGCCAAGAACTCGCTGTAACAGATCATTTCATTGGCTAATCCCTCACCTCATCCAGAACCCTGGTAATATAACAACTCTTCCAGATTCTAGTGTAGTAAAGACAAGTAAAACAAAATTTTGAACAAAAAACAAAACGAAATAGGATCTGTGTTCTAATCAGATTGAAAATAATGTTGAATAGTGTCTAAGGAGATATAATGTTTAGGTTTGGCATTATTCATATTTACCTTTTGATTAGCTGCTATTTGAGCACGTAAATCACTGAGATTATCATTAATATCTCTGGCACCACTACTTCCTGGATATTTACTAGGTTCATTAAAGGCATCAATTACTTCTAAAATACAGAACCAAAAATAAAACATGACATGCTGTTTGATATTTGATATTGTATCTGACAAGGAGTAGGGGCATCAATTTGCCAAACCAGGTGGATTATCAATGATTTCCAAATCATTGCTAAAAAAACCGATGTGCAAGTGGTTTATTCAAATAAAAATGTACATATCAAAATAAATATATTGTTTATATTCAACCTACCCTTTTCCATAAATACACCTTTGTTTACCAATTTAAATGTTTTAAATACAGCTCCTTCTTCTTGGATCATCTTAGAATGGGGTGGCATAGAACCAGGTGTGATACCACCAATATCAGCATGATGACCTCGACTAGCTACAAAAAATACAGGTTTCTTTTCACCTGCATGAAATACCTAAAAATACACAAATTATCCCCATCCAACATTAAAAATAGTCCTTCATGTTTATAAAATTGTGCGGCAGGCCTGTAACTGGGGGAGGGGGACGAAGGTTGGGCCCCCTGTAAAAAGTTTGAGCAAAACAAAATGTGCGAAGGATCGTTGAATTGGAAGAATAGTAGGAGGTATATGGTACGTAGTATAAAATCATTAAGGAATAACATAATACAGAAGAGCAGGGCCGTAGCAAGGGGGCACCCACCCTGCAAAAATTTTCGCCCCCCCCCCCAGTGAAAAAATTTTCAACCATAAAAACAATAGAAATACATTGTCCATCAATTTTACAGCACCCCCCCCCCCCCCCCCCCGAGAACACTCCCCACCCCCTTTGTTGCCATAAAAAGCTTCTGCCAATTTTAAAAATGAGAAAAAATCTCCTGTAAAAATACTTTTCTTAATTATATTGCAAATTGTATTTATGCTTGAGTCTTGTTTAGAGGGGTTGGATGGCCGAATGGTTAGCACGTGCGTGCTGTATCATAAAGCCTGTCATTGAGTCAACTGGCGTGGTTTTGAATCCACGGTTGTACGTGACAAGGAGTAGGGTCGCCTGTCCAACCTCGTGGGTTTTCCCCAGGTCCTCCGGTTTCCTCCCACTGCCAAAGACCCCTACGCGCAAGTGAATTATTGAAATAAAATCAAACCATATGTTAGTCCCGAAATGACCTAGTTTGTGTCGAGTGGACGTTAAACCCCATTTTTCTCTCTCTCTCTAGTCTTGTTTAATATTTGGTGAATATGTTTGGTGAATATGGTAGCATCAGAGTTATTGTCATGGAAAATAAACTGAAAGTAGTTTATTAATCTCAATATTTAGGAGAGCGATTTAGCTAATTTGCAAGAGGCTTTAATGTGTCACGTGAAGGAAAGTCGAGGTGGATCGAAAGCTCAGCTTTAATGTCAAGGACTGTAAAAGAATAACCTTGCACATATATGGGCCGATTGATATGCATATCAATTTATATGTCTCTCTAAGCATAAACTATAGAATGTTATTGTGGCTTTTTTTGCATTCAGTCCTTTGTCTTGATAATGGTGAGAAGTCGAGATTACTGTTATTCTTCTCGCTCGGTTATAAACAGCTTTATCAAGGAACATGATGAATAGTAGCCAAGAAGCTCATATCCACCCATGGCTGAGGGGTAAGACACCGGTTGGCTTGCCTGGAGGTCGCGTGTTCGATCCCTGCATTGGCCGATGCGGTTTCCCCTTGTCAGTTGTGCAGAACAGAGGGTATGACAAGGACAGCTGTCTAGTCGTTCAGATGGGACGAAAAAACAAGGTCCTTGTATATATTGTTGTGCACATAACAGATCCCTTGCCAGTTGGAATTCGTTATAAGAGTAGGGCATAGTGTCGCTGCCCGGGCAAAATTTCCCTCATAGAACACTTTATGACCTATGCCCATCTTCATTAATTCAGTCGGAGCAGAACAGTAGAATGTTAAACCACATTTCATCTCCTTCCGACAACTGGATGTTTGTTTTTTTTTTAAAAAAGTACCATGGTGGTTCATAGGTCCTTTGAACCTTACACACACAGAATTAACCAGTTTTATTCACAGAAATATATTTGGGATTTAAGTCCACATACAGTAATTTTGGTTTTCTCCAAAGATTTGAATAGCTTTGTGTGCAGTACGGATATGGAAATATACATATTCACTAACTTGATTATAAAGGAATTAAATTTCAGTTTAAAACAGCATACATGAGACAAACAGGGCCTGTTAACATTGAGAAGTTTACACTGTAACCCAGGTATCGTTTATTCTTCTGTATCTAGCATTATTTTCTTTCACATTAGTTTAATATCAAATCTTTGTATTTAATTTCCTGATCACTGTTCAAAAATTAATCATTATACATCATTAATCAATTGGGTTGTTTATTTTTTAACACTGATTGAGAAATTAAACACTTGTAAATTAGACACTCATTATCAAAATTGAATGGTCAGCTTTATACTGGACAGAAGTACAAATTATATGATTTATGGTGATTTTAAACAGTTTTTACAAATTTTTAAACAAAGATTGGATATTAAACGAATGTGAAAGAAATTAGTGCGAGATACACAAGATTAAACTATACCTGGGTTACAGTTTAAACTTGTAATGTATATCAACATAATAACAACATGTTATTACAAATAAATGTGATTTTAGTGCATGGTTTAATATGCTCGCTTCACATTGCAAGGGAGGTAACTGCAAATATCCCCCCACTATTTCACCAAATAATTACATAGAAACAATTTGAGAACTTTACTTCACCTAAACAAAGTAAAGACACAATGACACTTCCTACAGCTATATGATGATGATACACATGGCAGTTATTACCCTGCAAGACCATATCTAATTAAAATGGTGTTGTTCTTTGTGTTTAACGTCTTCTTCCACAGAAGGTGATATAGCATACAAGTCTTATTTTTTTTATTTTTATTATCTTAGCGCACGCACAGGGGTCTTTCCTGAGGGAGGAAACTGGAGTACCCGGAGTAAACCCAACAGGTTGAGAAGCACCCCTATCTCCAAGCCACATACGCTCACACCAGGGATCGAAAACATAGCCACAAGCCAGAGGTGACCAGTTAGGTAGAGGTCGAAGCGCGGCAATCTAGACCACTAGGCCATCCCAACCCCCCTAATTAAAACATGACAGTTCCTCTGTATTAATGTGTTAAAACTTACTGGAGTAATGACTGTTAGATCAGGAAGATGGCTGCCACCAGCTTGAGGATGGTTGCTAAGTATGACATCACCATCATGTAAATCATCCCCCAGAGCTTTTATCTGAAATAATACAACAGTGATCAGGGGAGATAATTAATGTATCATAAAGTCTGTCATTGAGTAGACTGGTGTGGTTTCGTATCCCCGGTTGTACCTGACAAGGAGTAGGGTCACCTGTCAAAGAGAGAAATGGAGTTTAACGTCCACTCAACACAACTAGGGGTCATTTCGGGACTAAAACATGGTTCAATTTTATTTCAATAATTCACTTGTGCATAGGGGTCTTTAGCAGTGGGAGGAAACAAGAGGACCCGGAGGAAACCCGGAAACCCACGAGGTTTGACAGGCGAACCTACTCCTTGTCACATAGAACCGGAGAATCTGAACCACGCCAATTGATTCAACAACAGATCTTACGATACAGCGCACACTCACAAACCATTCAGCCATGCAATCCCCCCCAATGATCTGGAGATTTGATTATGGAATTGGTATGTGAATTATGTGAATAATGCCTCTGTAACATGATGGTTTTTTTAAAAAGGTTGGCTGAGAATTGTATACGTATAGTTAACAATTAAAGGGACAATAACACTCTTGCTGGCTTGACAGCTCCAGAAAGTAAATAATAGTCTTATTCTAAGTATTAGATGTTTAAGTATCCTACCTGTTGTGTAAATTATCCATTAAATCCTATTTTACTTGTCCAGAGGGTTCAAAAATATTTTTAAATCCAAGTCACATTTGAAAAGGTTTACGTTGGGCTTTTCAAATCATTTAGTTGAATTTTTCCCATTTTTTAAATTAGGTGTGTTAAGATGAAATTTGTATCATCAATTAATTGCAATATTGTAAAATAATACAATTTGTTGACCAGAATAAAGATTGGGACATATTATTCAGTTACAACAAGAGTGGTATTGAGCCTTTAAACAGAATACAGAGTGATCAATAAAACAATAGATTATTACCTGATATTGAACTGTTTCTTGCATGGCACCTAGATGAACAGGGATATGAGGTGCATTAGCTACCAGACCACCATCATCACCAAATAAAGCACAGGAAAAATCCAATCGTTCCTATTTATCAATAACAAACACTGATTAGTATTATACATGGTTTTCCCCTTGTCAGTGGTGCAGGACGCAGGGCCTGTACGTGGCATGTACGTAAAAGATCCCTTGGCAGTTGGAATTCGCTATAAGAGTAGACCATAGTGCTGCTGCCCAGGCAAAATTTTTCTCATAGCACACTGAATAGCGTAGGCTCTTCTTCATTAGCCCAGTCGGTGTAGAACAGTAGGACGTTAAACCCCATTTCATTTCACTAAATTAAAGTCTAATCAGTGGTATAGTGCACATCCACTGGAACAAAATTCATATGGGATATTAGTGGGATGGGATCGGCTGTCACCATAATAATTTAAAATGGGGTTCCAGGGGAACATATTTGCAAATTATTCCCTCCATTTTCTTATAGGCTGGTTGCCGCTGCCCACACATAGATGTTTTCCTTCATGTGATCGACCATCTTATAGTAAGTGCAGGGGGACTGCACCACACACAATTCCACAAAAACAAATTTACGGATAAGCCACAATACGTAGAAATCACAAACAAAAGTTAAGTGAATGGATCTGGGGGCTAGTTGTAAGCATCCACTGCGCTATACAGTCCCGGGCCTGTATTGATACAGACTTCACTCAAAAAATGAAAACTAACAATAAGAAAAACATTGTGTAATACTAGTACGAGTCATGATCTGCTATAAGCCACATAAAATATGAATGTAAGCATATTGAAGTAAATAAAAATACCTAAACAAGTAACCATATAGGTGAAATGTATAAAAAAGTCAGGTATGCTATTTCTGAATGCCTGAATCAGTGTAAAGCCGACAATTTAAACAAAGAAGGCAGCCATATCTTGAGAGTATATGGTTTGCTCACACCTCGCTGTTCTTGAATACAAATCAATGGGTAGCTTTAAGTTTAGCACCTTAAATACAAATCTGGGGTAGCTTTAATTTCAACAAGGTTCACCTGTGTGTATTCTTACCTTGATATTAGTAGATATAGAGGTTCTTTGTAAAACTCTACCCATTTGTTCAGCTATACTCATAAATCTATGTGAGAATATAGATAATTGTATTGTATCTAATTCTATACCAACTGTTTTTATTATACCACTTCCTATCTGTAATACAAATATTTACCATATTTCATTGAGAGAGAAAGAGAGAGAGAGAGAGAGAGAGAGAGAGAGTGAGAGAGAGAGAGAGAGAGAAATGGGGTTTAACGACCACTCGATACAAACTAGCTCATTTCGGGACTAACATATGGTTTAATTTTTTTTACATAATTTGCTTGCGCGTAGGGGTCTTTAGCAGTGGGAGGAAACCGGAGGACCCGGAGAAAACCCACGAGGTTCGACAGGCGACCCTACTCCTTGCCACGTACAACCGGGGATTCAAAACCACGCCAGTCGACTCAATGACAGACTTTATGATACAGCGCGCGCACGCTAATCATTCAGCCATCCAAGCCCCCAGAGAGAGAGAGAGAGAGAGAGAGGGCTCAAACATGGTTTCCCCGGTTGTATGTGACAAGGATTAAGGTCTGACAAGGATTAAGGTCGCCTGTCTAAACTTGTGGGTTTTCTCCAGGTTCTCTGGTTTCCTCCCATTGCTAAAGACCCTTATGCACAAGTGAATTATTGAAATGAAATTGAACCATATGTTAGTCCAGAAATTTTCAAGTTTGTGTCGAGTGAACGTTTAGAATCCCCAGTTGTACATGACAAGGAGTAGAGTGGCCTGTCCAACCTCGTGGGTTTTTCTCCGGGTCCTTCAGTTTCCTCCCACTGCTAAAGCCCCCATCGCGCAAGCGAATTATTAAAATTTTCTAACCATATCTTAATCCCTAAATGACCTAGTTTGTGTCGAGTGGAGGTTAAAATCTCTCTCTCTCTCATTCAAGAGATGGGGTTGAAGTACACGCAACACAAACCAAGTCATTTCGGGACTAACATATGGTTCAATTTTTTTCAGATTGAAGTATTGAATTGGTTGGATGTGACATTTTATATTAAAATGTTATGGGTCCAATTTTGATATGATTGAAGTTTTGTTTCGAAAGATTAAAGTGGCATTAGGTCAGATTAGAGAAAGAGTTGACGGTTCTCACTATAATAGTTCAAAAATAGATAATGAAAAAAGAATATACTGAAAACATTATCAATTTCTATAAAGAGTATATTTGTGACATTCATTCTCTCAAAGGCTTCCGGATGGGACGAAAAACCAAGGACCTGTGTATACATTGGTGTGCACGTAAAATTCGATATAAGAGTAGGCCATAGTGTCACTGTCTGGGTAAAATTTCCCTCATAGCACACTGTATGGCGTATGCCCGTCTTCATTAGCCCAGTAGGTCGTTAAACCCCATTTCATATCATTTTTCTAAATGGTTTCAAAAGAGTTATTATTAACTTACGACTATATGTATATCACCCGTTGTTGTTATAGTACCCGTACAAGATGGTTCTATCAAAACAGTGCTAAAATAAAAAAAAAGATATAAATATGTAGGTTCTAAGATCATTTTACACAATCTGAACATTATATATGTTCAGGGGGTTGGATGGACTGTATCATATAAGGTCTGTCATTGAGTCCACTGCCGTGGTTTCGATTCCCCTGTTGCACGTGACCAGGAGTAGGGTCGCCTGTCCAACCTCGTGGGTTTTCTCCGGGTCCTCCGGTTTCCTCCCACTGCTAAAGAATCCTACAAGCAAGCAAATTATTGAAATAAAATTGAACCATATGTTAGTCCCGAAATGACCTAGTTTGTGTCAAATGGACTTTAAACCCAATCAATCTCTCTTTCTCTCTCTCTCTTATTTCAAATATTTTATGTTCATTAATTATTTGGTTTATTTTAAAACAACTGTAATATATATACCTGGGCCCTGTTTCACGAAATCTTAACTAAAGATAAAATCCAAATTTTAGTAGATACTTCAATTTTGATTGGCTAAGCACCAAAATCAATCTTATATTATCCAATCAAATTACTAAAATTTGGATTTTATCTTAGTTACCTGTAAGATACATATATGTAACCTCACCTGTTTTTATCAATGATTATAGCTGGTCCTTGTATTGCATGACCACTGTGTAATTTATCAAGTAGAAAGACACTAGTATCAAGATTACCACTATCAAAATAACATTTCACAACCTGATAAAAACAAAATAACATTTCACAACCTCACAAAAACAAAATAACATTTCACAAACTAGTAAAAAAAAACCAAAGTAACATTTCACAACTTGGTAAAAACAAAACAACTATGTCACAACCTGGTAAAACAAAACATTTCACAACCTGGTAAAATAAAATAACTTTTCACAACCTGGTAAATACAAAACAACCATGTCACAACCTGGTAAAAAAAAAATAACATTTGTGACCAGTGACAGCCAAATGAGTCACTTGGGGTAAAATATAATATTTGGGTTATGCATATATTCAGAAAGTGTATGTTATAAGCTTTTCAATGAAATATAAAATGTTAAGATTGGGTGATAATTAAAAAAGTTATGCACCAACAAAAATGGCTAATTTTTACGAAAATTCTTTTGTTTTTAGCATTGATTTTAATGACACTACTTACAAAACACCCAATTTAAACACTAAATTAATTAAATATTTAAATATGTCTGGATTACTCCAATAATAGACAAGTAAAGCATCCGATTTCGCAAAAAAAAATTTTTTTTAAATTAAGCTCAAGTAGCTATTTTACATCGTAGCGTTAAATGAGCATGGCCGACTTCTGACTCATTTGGCTGTCACCGATCACATTTCACAACCTGGTAAAAACAAAATATTTCACAACCTGGTAAAAACAAAACAGCCATGTCACAACCTGGTAAAAATAAGATAACATTTCACAACCTAATTACAGCTAATTATAACTGGAAAAACAAAGATTTATACAATACAGTGGAATATGGGAATTACCAATTTATATGATGACCACAGTGATTAGTTAACGTTTGGTTGCTATCTCTGTGGGCCATTAGCGGCATTATCTATCTTGACAGACCGTTTTTTTAGTTGTATTTTGTAAAAGTGTCCCTTTAATAACAGGGGCCTGTTTCACAAAATTTTAACTACGATAAAATTCAAATTTTAGTAATTTTATTGGATAATATTAGATTGATTTGAGTCCTTAGCCAATCAAAATTGAAGTATCCACTAAAATTGGATTTTATCGTTAGTTAAGATTTCGAGAAACAGGGCCCTGGCCACACTCAATATCTCATTAACAAGAACCTAATTGTTAGTCACGAATTGCGAATGTGCCAGAAAAGAACAAATGGTGCTTTTGTGTGGGATGTTTCACTGTAACCCAGGTATCATTTAATCTTGTATATCTAGCACTAATTTCCTCACATTCGTTTAATATCCAATCTTTGTTTAAAAATTCATAAAAAATCAGTTAAAATCACCCCAAATCATCCAATTTGTACTTGTGTCCAGTTTAAATCAGACTGATTAATTTTACTAATAAGTGATAACAGTGATCGAGAAATTAAACACTTGTATATTAGACACTGATTATCATTATCACCTTTTCAACAGGGTGATTTTAAATGATTTTTATGAATCTTTAAACAAAGGTAGCAGATTCAAAAGATTAAATGATACCCGGTTTACAGTGTTAGGTGCTGAAATATATAGTGCCGATGTCTGGCGCTGTTGTGTGAGATGTTTGGTGCCGATGTGTGGGATTTTTAGTGCTGATGCATGGGATTTTTAGTGCTGATGCATAGGATGTTTGGTGCCAATGTGTGGGATGTTTAGTGCTGTCAGGTGGGATGTTTGGTGCCGATGCATGGGATATTTCGTGCTAATACGTTGGACGTTTCTGATACCTTTTCAACAGTAGGTGGAGCTGTATAAGATGGAATATTTTGGTTGGATGCTGCTGTTGATTTACCTACACCTCGAACACGTACGTCATCAACCATGATACATCTATTCACTAATACAAACCCAAACTCTGTCTGATATCTTCCAGAAAAACATGAAGTAAAAATTAAGATTTTTATTAATAATGTATAACAGAGAGAGAGAGAAATGGTAATTAAAGTCCACTTGACACAAAGTAGGTCATTTCGGGACTAACCAGGGCTTCTACTTCAAAATTTTCTGCAGCCGGTCATTTTTCACACGGTGAAAGTGGTGCCACAAAACAAGATGCTATGAATTTGATTCCCTGTTTGTATGTGACAAAGAAGAAGGATCGTCTGTCCAACCTCGTGGGTTTCCTCCAGATCCTCCGTTTCCTCCCACTGCTAAAGACCCCTACGAGCAAGCAAATTATTGAAATAAAAAATGAAATAAAATTGAACCATATGTTAGTCCCAAAATGACAAACTTGTGTCAAGTGGACATTAAACCCTCTCTCTCTCTCCCTCTTTAGATATTTTTTCATAATCCATGGTATATAAAATAAACACCAACCTCTGAATGAATGCAGATCTAAAATCGCCATATTTACTGGAATCTGAGGTTGCTGGATAACTATCGGCATTGACCATCAGTGCACAATCAGTTCTATCGTATCGTAGATGTAGGAAGACTTGAGTTTCTATATTAACCCTTTTAACAGTAATAAAATATAAATTAGTAGTGCTAGTAGTGATCAATGACACTTCACAATAATAAAATATAAATTAGTTGTACTAGTCGTAATCCGTTACCCTTAACAGTAATAAAATATAAATTATTAGTGCTAGTCACGATCAATGACACTTCACAGTAACATAATATAGATTAGTAGTATTTGTCAAGATCAATGACACTTCACAATAATAAAATATAAATTAGTTGTACTAGTCATAATCAATAACACTTTACAGTAATAAAATATAAATTAGTAGTACTAGTCATAATATAATCCATAACACTTAACAGTAATAAAATAAAAATTAGTTGTACTAGTAGTGATTGATAACACTTAACAGTAATAAAATAAAAATTAGTTGTACTAGTAGTGATTGATAACACTTAACAGTAATAAAATAAAAATTAGTTGTACAAGTAGTGATTGATAACACTTAACAGTAATAAAATAAAAATTAGTTGTACTAGTAGTGATTGATAACACTTAACAGTAATAAAATAAAAATTAGTTGTACTAGTAGTGATTGATAACACTTAACAGTAATAAAATAAAAATAAGTTGTACTAGTAGTGATTGATAACACTTAACAGTAATAAAATAAAAATTAGTTGTACTAGTAGTGATTGATAACACTTTACAGAAATAAAATATAACTTAGTAGTACTAGTTGTAATCATTGACACTTTACGGTAATAAAATATACATTAGTAGTACTAGTTGTGATCGAACGATCCTTTCATTGTCCGAGAAAGCTCATCCAGATTTTCCGGCGTGGTTTCCCCTTGTCAGTGATGCAGGACGGAGGGCCTGACAAGGACAGCAGTCTAGTCACTCTGATGAGACAAAAAACGAGGTCCCGTGTACGAATTGGTGTGCACGTAAAAGATCCCTTGACAGTTGGAATTCGATATAAGAGTATAGGCCGTAGTGCCGCAAAATTTCCCTCATAGCACACTGTATGGCGTATGCCTGTCTTCATTAGCCCAGTTTAGGAGCAAAACAGTAGGACGTTAAAGTCCATTTCATTTCATTTATGATCAAACGTCTGACTTGGGCCGATCAAAAAAAGATAGCATGACCAAATTCAACTGCTCAATCCACTCTAGCAGGCTGTTAAACCCCATTTCATTTCAATCCAGCCTAAAATATTCATTTTATTAGCTATAGGCCTAAATTATAAATATAAGCTATATGAATTTTGTACTCAATTCTGTTCTACTTTTTTAAATAATATATAAAAATAAGCTTACAAATCAAATCCTTGTCTTTGTAATTCAGTAATACATGTTTCTTTCAACGCCTCTATTCTTTCATCCAAATAACTAAACGATACTGAAAAATAGAGAGAGATGGGGTTTAATGTCCACTCGACACAAACTAGGAAATTTCGGGACTAACATATGGTTCAATTTTAATTCAATAGCTGGTTTGTGCGTAGGGGTCTTTAGCAGTGGCAGGAAACTGGAGGATCCAGAGAAAACCCACGAGGATGGACAGGCGACACTACTCCTTGTCACGTACGTCCGGGGAATTGAAACCCCATCAGTTGACTCAATGGCAGACCTTGTGATACAACGCGCACACGCTAACCATTCGGCGATCTAAGCCTGCTTCTGGAGAAATAAATGTAAATGAACTAAATTCAACAAACTGGAAAGAAAAAATATAAAATGTTTCATTGTCGTCCTCGAACTCGCTACCTTTTACATATTCTTTCGAACAGGGTTCTTGAGTTTCATGAACGACGTCTGCTAGTGCCATACCGTAAGCTGACAGAATACCAGCGTATCTGAAATATAAATAACTTTAATTTAAATCTAAGCTTGAAATTTGTGTCTGATTCGATGTTAATTAAATTTTGGGGATAAGTTCAATATCGGAGCTTTTCTGAGCCCCCCCTCCCCCCTCATCACTCACATAAACATGATCTTCATACACTTGAAACTTTGGGATGGAGGGGGGATCAAATTCCTGAAGCAATGGTCCGAGAAATTCCTCTCTGGCCATTGCCGGATTGGCTTCTGATACTTGAGCTTTTGAGGGAGTGTGTATATTCTTCCCGTTCAATCAAATCTATCCCAAGTACAGCAACAAGATAGCCCTTCGTTTAATCTGGGATCTTCCCTAAAACTTTGGACAGTGATTTAAGGTATTAAAAACGGTGAAAGTATTCTTCGTCTCCATATAGTATTGTTTACATTGTATCCGTGTTGATAGCCTCGTTTGTCACACAATTAGTTCTTCTGCAATATTCTGCTAGGCACTGGTTAATTGGGCATAATAAAATTGTGAGTCATGACTAAACTTTATGTAAACATATTTGGTCCAATTTGGAGCATTGTTTAAATGTAACGACATTGTTACGCAGTTAGCTATTGGTTGTTTATCAGACTATTGACCAGTCATAATTTGGAACAGAAATTTTCTTACATTACAGCAGTGTTAAAAGGGATTAGGTATAATCAAACGAAACACTGCAAGGAGTATGGGAGGGTGATTTTAAAATGTCTGAAATATTTCCGACTATCAAGTCAAATTAAACCCTGATGACGGCATGATATTTAATGTGTGGTTGAAAATCGAAACCTACCTGTGAACAAATACCTGAGACATTCCAAGCGATCTGGCTATTGCACATGCATGTTGACCCCCAGCACCACCAAAACATGCTAAAGTATGCCTCGATGTGTCATGTCCTTTAGCCTGTAAAATACATATCTTCGTAACCATAGCAAAGAACTACATCAATAAATAGTCTAAACCTTAATCTAAGGGCAGAGTTAGACAACTTGTTGGATTTATCTTGTTCAATGAACCAAGAATTATATCCTGCAGCACTTAACTTTTAAGGATTTTACTTGCATTTGTCTTAAATGACCCGTCTTAATAGTCGCTGATCATGGAGAAAACCCATGAGGTTAAACAAGCGACCCAACTCCTTGTCACGTACAACCAGAGATTTGGAACCACACTAGTTGACTCAATGACAGGCCTTATGATACAGCGAACAATTGCATCGTGTAAACGCATTGACGAAATGTTGCATTTGACGGTTGTACGAATTGGTTGTATCGTGTAAACACCAGTTAATGCTAGGTTCACACTATCACCATGCCCGCTACGATTCAAATCGTGGCTTTAATCGTTGAGTAATCGTGGTGATCCTATCAGGTTTTATCATATATTGAGAGCAGTCAAAGCAATTGTGTTAGTCGCATCAAAACGTATCCGCAAGTTCCAGATCGTGGACTCCCATCGTAAGCATAGTGTGACAGTAAGGATTGGCATAAGCAGTAATAATTTCAGCTTCTGCTGTATAACACTGACTCACCTGTGTTAGGGCTCTGATAGGTCTACACATCGATTCGTTAGCTACATTTATAAAACCCATGGCAATTTCTTCTAGTGACATAGTCTTACTACCTGATTGAGATGACAGGAATGTATTCACCTGGAAAAAAAACAACAACATTTGAAAAACAAAATTAACATCATTTGAAAAACAAAATTAACAACATTTTAAAAACAAAATTAATAATATTTTTAAAAAACAAAATTAAAAACAATTTAAAAACAAAATTAACAACATTTTAAAAAAAAAATTAACACTTTAAAAACAAAATTAACATTTTAAAAACAAAATTAAAAACATTTAAAAACAAAATTAACATTTTAAAAACAAAATTAAAAACATTTTAAAAACAAAATTAACAACATTTATTATGGACAGGTTGATTTAATTAAGTTATTTACACATGAAGGCGGAATATTAAAAAAAGAATGGGTAAAAACATAAATTTACCATTGGAATACGACAGGATGAAAATCTGTTCCTGTTTCTATTTTCCATTTTCTTGAATGATGTAGAAGAATTTATGATCTCTGAATGAAGGTTGTGATTTAAACTCGATGATATATTATTTGGGATGTGATGAGAACATTTAAATAGTTCATAAATTACACCTTTGATATTTCTAATCATTATTAAATAGCCTACAGTATTAGCGCACTAGTATCAAGTATATGCAGACAAAATAGGTGAACATATTGACATCTTTTGTCATGGTTGATTGATCAGGGTCCTTGAAAACGTTGACCTATATAGGTGTTAAGTAACAACTGCGGTTTGGAAATGAAATGAAATGAAATGGGGTTTAACGTCCTACTGTTTTGCTCCGAACTGGGCTAATGAAGACGGACTGCGGTTTGGTGATACCTGATTGAACCCATAAACTAATTAACAGTGCTGAGTGTGGAATAGCTTTACCTGACGTCTGCTTCCACCTAACCATGATATCGCGGAGAAGAAATTCGTGTTTATTTAATCTACCACATGCCAGCAGAAGAACCAACAAACGTCACGTTTAATATACACAATAGAACCAACAAACGTCACGTTTAATATACACAATAGAACCAACAAATGTCACGTTTAATATACACAATAGAACCAACAAACGTCACGTTTAATATACACAATAGAACCAACAAACGTCATGTTTAATATACACAATAGAACCAACAAACGTCATGTTTAATATACACAATAGAACCAACAAACGTCATGTTTAATATACACAATAGAACCAACAAACGTCATGTTTAATATACACAATAGAACCAACAAACGTCACGTTTAATATACACAATAGAACCAACAAACGTCATGTTTAATATACATAATAGAACCAACAAACGTCACGTTTAATATACACAATAGAACCAACAAACGTCATGTTTAATATACACAATAGAACCAACAAACGTCATGTTTAATATACACAATAGAACCAACAAACGTCACGTTTAATATACACAATAGAACCAACAAACGTCATGTTTAATATACACAATAGAACCAACAAACGTCATGTTTAATATACATAATAGAACCAACAAACGTCACGTTTAATATACACAATAGAACCAACAAACGTCACGTTTAATATACACAATAGAACCAATAGAATTCCAGTGAAGTAAACAATCATAATTAACCACATGATATCCAGATAAATAATCTAATTTGTAGATCTGCAATTATTCACGTGATGGTCTGAACATTATTTGTGTGGTTCTATTTGTTGATAGCAAGTACCGGTAATAATTATCTTGAAGAAAACCACGTTTTGAAAACGTGGCAATTTTTACCCAGCCTCGATCTGGACAAAATACCTCGTTTCAAAAACATGGCAATCTAAAAAGCTATGTTTCAGCACTCCAGACAAACGTGGCATTTTGTGGCAAAATTATTAACAGGTTTTTGCCACGTTTGGACAAAAATGCCAAACGTGGCATTCTGAGGATATAGTGTTATTTCACCTGATCTGTGAGAGTTTTAAATGCTGCTAAAGTTGCTGATTTATCTAATGGTTGATCTTCAGTTTCACCAAATATAGCAGGAAAGTATTCTGGTAATATTCTACCAAGGCACAAATTGGCATCAGTAATCGTTAGTGGTCCACCTGTAAATCAAAACCACACATTATCAGGTACTTGAGCTTCCATATATCTGAGGAGTAGCATATGGTCTTCCATGGGTATGTTTTTAAATAAAGAAATAAGCAGATTAAGAAATGACTGCAAATAAGGCCTTCTCGTATATCGGATTCCAACTGCCAAGGGATCTTTAATATGTACACGGGACCTAAATTTTTTGTTCCATCCAAACGACTAGTCAGCTATCCTTGTCAGGCCATCCATTCTGCAGTGTGTGTAATAGCCTTATTCAACATTTGCTTCCATTGAAGTCAAATCGCAGACAAGTATCTGATAGAGAGAGAGAGAGAAAAAAAATGGGGTTTTACCTTCATTCGACACAAACTAGGTCATTTTGGGACTAACATATAGTTCAATTTTATTTCAATAATTTGCTTGCGCGTAGGGGTCTTTAGCAGTGGGAGGAAACCGGAGAAAACCAACAAGGTTTGACAGGTGACCCCACTCCTTGTCACATACAACTGGGGATGACAGACCTTATGATATAACATGCACGCACTAACCATTCAGCCATCAGTATCCCCCCCCCACCCACAAGTACTTGATAATGACTTACCCTTTTTATAACATACAGGACCTGGATGTGCACCAGCTGATTCAGGACCAACAACAAACAGACCTGATCTAAAAAACAACTTGGATCCTCCACCAGCAGCCACTGTATTAATATCTAACTAAATCAAAAATATAAAATGTGTGTTTCGATTCCCCAGTTCTACAGGGCCACCGTCAAACTTCATAAGGTTGGACAGGTGACCCTACTCCTTGTCATGTACAACCCAGTAATCGAAACCAAGCCAGTTGACTTAATGAATGATCTTATGATACAACGCGCACACGCTAACTATTCGACCATCCAACCCCCCACACACGTGAAATAACTTGTCCCGTAGATATATAAAACCTCCACATAAACCACTATAAGACTGCCATGTCACAAATTACTAATAAAAATGGCAATGTGATTGATTTAAATATAGTTTATCGATTCCTCTATGGAAAATGTCGAGATGTGAAACATCCCAGATTGACACAGTATCACTTGATCTATAGACTAAATCAATCAAGTATCTATTGATCTGTAGACTAAATTAATCATATTTCTGTAGACTAAATCAATATTGTATCTATTGATCTGTAGACTAAATTAAAGATACATTATGTAAGATTTAGACAAAGAGCTGATCATTATTGCTATAATAGTTCAACATTATGTAAGATTTAGATAAAGAGCTGATCATTATTGCTATAATAGATCAACATTATGTAAGATTTAGATAAAGAGCTGATCATTATTGCTATAATAGATCAACATTATGTAAGATTTAGATAAAGAGCTGATCATTATTGCTATAATAGATCAACATTATGTAAGATTTAGATAAAGAGCTGATCATTATTGCTATAATAGATCAACATTATGTAAGATTTAGATAAAGAGCTGACCGTTATTGCTATAATAGCTCAAAAAAAGATAATGTAAAATGAAAATATTGAAAATTTCATTTAAATTATTTCATTCTGAGCCAAGTTATCACAGTAGTTTTGACAAGATGTGTGTATTGTGGTAACCAGGGCACTGGTATATTTGATATCAGTTTCGCATTCCCATTTTAAATTAAATTTTTAAATGCCAAACCGTTCAAATCTAGTTAAAATCTTAAGTATCTGATGCCTAATTATTAATGTCTAATTAATAATTTAGATAACAATTCGGACCTAAAGAAAGACCAGCAATAGACAGATTTTAATCATGTGATAATGTTTATACTAACCTGTGGTGCCTGTATAGTAATACCAGCCGTACTTGTTTCAAATACATGTTCATATTGACCAGCATAACGACTCACATCAGTTGATGTTCCTTAAATAGAAATAATACAAATGTAAATTAAAAACAAGACCAACAGTCGATCAATTCAGTAAAGAATGCTGGGTGTTTCTCAAGGCCCATGTAGTCTAATGCTAAGGGCAGATAAGCGTGTTTTTTCGCCTGATCGAGTCGATTAAAATTTGCCAGCGATTTTTTATGGCTGATCACGAATGGGCATATCCAGCGACCGTCTCGAGAGTGTATGTAACTTGTTCTAAATGGCGAATCACCGTAATCGTAGGATTGCTGTCATAGCTTGCTATTTATTTGATAAAAATAAAAAGCAAAACACACAGAAGGGCACATTGGACAAATCGAAACTTGTGGTACAGGAGTTAGATTCCATGCTTCGGTCGAATAGTTAGCACATGCACGTTGTATCATAAGGTCTGTCATTGCGTCAACTGACGTGGTTTCGATTCCCAGGTTGTACGTGAAAATGAGTAAGGTCTCTCCCACTGCTAAAGACCACTATGCGCAAGCGAATTATTGAAATAAAATTAAACTATGTATTAGTCCTGAAATGACCTAGTTTGTGTCGAGTGGACGTTAACCCCCTCCCTCTCTCTCTGTCTTTCTCAGATAATGATTTGAGAGTTACCTCCCATGTCAAAGCCTATGACAGGTTGTTTAGTTTGTTGATTGTATGTTGTTAAAGCGTATCCAACAACACCACCAGCAGGTCCTGATAATATAGCTCTAGAACCATTAAATCTGAAATAATATAAACATAATTAAAGGGAAATTATGTGAGATTAGATAAAGAGTTGACAGTTCTCGCTATAATACTTAAAAAAATAGATAACATAAATAGAATATGCTGTAAATTTCAGTAAAATTGCTCCACTCTGAACCAAGATATTGGATTTTGAATTTTAGGCTAGCCTCAATCAGCTAAATATCGCAGGCTAGCGATGGTATAGAGAGTTGATTATGGTCTGGATAAATGTCTAATTAATGGTTTATATAACATTTCAGGCCTTACTCCCCCGTCAGACCGGGGTGGCGTTCTTACTGCGATGCTGTGTTATCTTGTTTTAAGACTAGTTACCTCCCTTAGAATTTTTTTATGATATTGTAAAAGACTGGTTAATCTAGCCAATGACCTATTATTCTCAAATGTTGACAACGCATCAAGACTAATATTCGTAGAATATTTATCTGGATGATAGAAACTAATGGTAAAGTTACTTACTTGTCTACAGGAGTAAGACCACCATCAGATTGCATAAATAATACCCGTGTATTCTAAAAACAGATAAATGAAATAACATTAAATGAGATGAAATGAAATGGAGTTTAACATCCCACTGTTCTGCTCCTACTGGGCTAATGATGACAGGCGTACGCCATACAGTGTGCTATAAGGAAACTTTTGCCCAGACAACGCCACTATGACCTACTCTTATATCGAATTCCAAATGTTAAGGGATATTTTATGTGCACGCAAATGTATACACGGGACCTCGTTTCGTACCCACTTAGCCACCGTGATTGTATGAAATTCAATGTCTTACTTTTCTGCAACAAACAACCTACCGAAGGTGCGCATACACAGTGTGCTTTGATGAAAAATTTGCATGAACAGCGTTGTCTCGTATCTACTTTCCCTCAAATTCTGACTGCCAAGAGAATCATTACATTCGCGCCAATGTATACATAATCTTTAACCCGTTAACTGCGTAGGGCGTTATATAACGTCCTGGACAACTGCCACTCATCGTGTGTAGGACATAATATAACGCCCTGGAGGTATTTTCCCCAACCTATTCTTCGAACACGATCGCAGCATTGTAGGACGTTATATTACGCCTGGTCGAGGAAATCTAATTGAAGGAAGACAACTCTATTTACCGTTAGATTTAATATGGTTTGAGACTACTAAAATTTGTATTCAGGAATAAAAAGGTCCAAAAATGACGTTTTTCGTCAAATTAATTACACAATAGGGGGTAGTTAACGTTTTAAAAACTACGCAGTTAAGGGGTTAAATCCCATCCGAATGACTAGATGGGCTTTTCCTATTCAGAGAGAGAGAGATAAATGGGGTTTAACGTCCACTCGACACAAACTAGGTCATTTCGGGACTAACATATGGTTTAATTTTATTTCAATAATTCGCTTGCGCCTAGGGGTCTTTAGCAGTGGGAGGAAACCGGAGGACCCAGAGAAAACCCACGAAGTTAAGGGCAACCCTACTCCTTGTCACGTACAACCGGGGATTCGAAACCATGCCAGTTGACTCAATGACACACCTTATGATACAGCACGCACGTGCTAACCATTCGGCCACCCCCCCCCCCTTTCCTATTCAAACCCTCGATAAGCAACTGATGATGGGAAAACCTAACTGGACAATCCAAAGGTTCTTTATCAATGAGGAGGGTTGGATGGCTAAATGGTAAGCGCTTGCACGTTGTATCATAAACTCTGTCATTGAGTCATTTGCCGTAGTTTCGATTCCCTGGTTGTACATGACAAGGAGTAGGATCCAATGTCCAACATCATAGGTTTTCTCTGCGTCCTCCGTTTTCCTCCCAATGCTAAAGACCCCTACGCACAAGCGAATTATTTAAATAATATTGAACCATACATTGTATGTAAGTCCCGAAATGACCTAGTTTGTGTTAAGTGGATGTTAAACCCCATTTCTCTTTCTCTATTTATCTGCGTCACAGGGATCGATCATCGAACCCAGGACCTACGAGTTAGTGAGCCAGCACCAAACTCACAGGGATCGATCATCGAACCCAGGACCTACGAGTTAGTGAGCCAGCACCAAACTCACTGAGCCACTGAGCAATACAAAAATAATATAAAATACTCACAGCTAACCCTCCTAAAAATCCAGAAGCAAAACCTTCTACATATTTGTGTATACATGGTGTTAGATAGGCATCAGCACATGCTGTAACATCAAACAGAATCACATTTATAGTAGCTAAGTCTCTATCTCAATATCATCAAAAGTCTTTAGCTATGTCTCTAACTCAGTATCGTCAAAAGTCTTTAGCTATGTCTCTAACTCAGTATCGTCAAAAGTCTTTAGCTAAGTCTCTATAATGTAATATCATCCAATATCATCCAAAGTCCTTGTCAGTTTAAATCAATATCGATGTTGTGTTCTTACCGGGAAAAGACAGGCTTCTGATATCCAATATTTAAGACAAAATTAACATTTTACCATTCGTGTACCATAATGGGTTTCAGTGCCATTTGTAACTCAAAGAACGAGGCTAGACGTATATAATAATGATGATGCCATATTCTTATCTGGAGAGCATGCGCAATAATTACTATCGGTGTGGACGGGAATAACCAGATGCTAGAGATTGTTATTCGATTGAGACTTCTGGCGTATTTCGCCGAACATAAGTGATTTGAAATTAGAACAAAAACAGAAATGTCAAATCATCAATTCAGTCAAGTCTTCAATCAATTCACGCCATCAATCCAGTCCAGTCATGAATCCAGTCCAGTCATGAATCCATTTGAGTCATAAATCCAATCAAGTAATGAATCCAGTCAAGTGATCAATCTAGTCAAAACATCAATCCATGCAAGTCATGAATCCAGTCAAAACATCAATCCATGCAAGTCAAGAATCCAGTCAGAACATCAATCCATGCAAGTCAAGAATCCAGTCCAGTCATGAATTCATTTGAGTCATTAATCCAGTGAAGTCATCAATCTAGTGTCATATATACAACATATATAATTACCACATTTTACAAAAAGCTTTAAATTATGATATATTCCTGTAACCGTTTTTGTGGAATTGGTCTGGTCTCTATAACGACATTACAGCGTTAAAATTTTGTCTTCGAGTCAGATACTGATTCTGGTTTGACACTATGGGTACTCACCTGTGAAACCACGAGGTACTATTCTTATCATTGGCATTATTTCTGATGACAAGGACACGTGTTTAAAACCCATTTCTCTGGATAGTTGACCAACCTGTCTCTCATGTTCACCACATCTAGTATAAATAACAGATCTAAATATTCTTTATGTATCTGTATTTTATAAATGATATTGAATAACACAGAGAGAGAGAGAGAGAGAGAGAGAGAGAGAGAGAGAGAGGGAGAGAGCACACACTAGATCATTTCGGGGCTAACACATGGTTCAATTTTATTTCAATAATTCACTTTAGCATAGGGGTCTTTAGCAGTGGAAGAAATCAGAGGACACAGAGAAAACCCACGAGGTTGGACAGGCGACCCTACTCCTTGTCACTTACAACCACGAATTCGAAATCACACAAGTGGACTCAATGACAGACCATATGATACAATGCGCACATTCTAACCATTCGGCCATCCAACTGCCCAGGTCTAAATAAATAGAAGATATTCGTCGTTTTAGAGTGAATAACATATTTTATTTCATCGAAAAGCAAGAAAAATTATATTTTCACGAATGCGTAGCATGATTGAAAATATAAACGTTTTCTTGCTTAGAGTGAAAATATAAACGTTTTCTTGCTTAGAGATGAAATAAAATATGTTATTCACGACAAAACAACAAATGTTCTATTTATTTTAGGATTTTACAATCATTTTAGGTAAAAACAACTAGCCAGTGGAATAACACTTTTATTTCACTGATAAAACGCGGTATTCCATGAGAGAGAGAGAGAGAGAGAGAGAGGGGGGCGGGCGGGTGTAACACATTTTGTGCTTCCGTGTGAAACAATATTTTAATAATTTCAATTTGAGTAGAATATATGCATCTTTCATTAAAATGATAATTTGGAGTATTGGTAGTTGAAATAGTGGGGGGGGGGATGGGAATCGGTGGCTAAGTGGGTAAGATGCTGGCACGCTAGCCTGGAGGTTGGGTGTTCGATCCCTGCATTGGCTGAGAAAATTCATTCAAAATTTCCAGGCATGGTTCCCCCTGACAAGGACAGCTGCCTAGTTGTTCGGATGGGAGGAAAAACCGAGGTCCTGTGTACACATTGGCATGCACGTAAAAGATCCCTTGACAGTAGGTCGTAGTGCCGCTGTCAGGGCAAAATTTCCCTCATAGCACACTGTATGGTGTATGCCCGTCTTCATTAGCCCAGTCGGAGCAGAACAGTAGAACGTTAAACCCCATTTCATTTCATTTCAGTTGAAATAGGCAGTGGTTACTTACGTGTAGGAATGCATCAAGGCTACAGCTAAACTGGTTATACCTTCATCCAGGACAACTTGTAAATCTTCTTTCAATTTCTTTACATCAATGGGTTTCCATACTTCCAACTAAAAGTAATAGAACACTAACTAGATCATTTTGGGACTAACCTATGGTAATTTTGTATGTAGGAGTATTAGCAGTGGGAGGAAACCGAAAAACCCTGAAAAAACCCACATGGTTGGCAGATGAATCTATATGTACAAACACCCACTTAACTGAATACAAAAGAGAGAGAGAGATGGGGTTTAACATCCACTCGACACAAACTAGGTCATTTCGGGACTAACACATGGTGTTATTTTATTTCAATAATTCGCTTGCGCGTAGGGGTGTTTAGCTGTGGGAGGAAACCGGAGGACCCAGAGAAAATCCATGAGGTTGGACAAGCGACCCTACTCCTTGTCACGTACAACCCCGCCAGTTGACTCAATGACAGACCGTCTGATACAGCGCATGCGTGCTAACCATTCGGCCATCCAATCCCCCTAACTGAATACAAACCCTTTGATCTAAAGTGCTAGGTCTCAGCCACTCAAGATTAAAGATACATTATGTAAGATTTAAATAAAGAGCTGACCATTCTTGCTATAATAGTTTGAAAATAGATAATGTAAAATAAATAATTTGAAAATTTTATTCAAATTAATCTATTGCGAGCGAGGATATTAGCCTTTGACAAATTTTAAGGTTTGACGAGACGTGTGCAATTATTTCAACTGGTTGTTTGAAGCTAAGTCTCGCTCCTCCATTTTTAGCTTAAATCAAAATATGACTGAACTGTTCTAATCTATTTGATATCAGAGAAATCCGATGCCATCGAGAGTTGATAATGAATGACATGGATAAGTTAATTAATCTCTAATTAATAATTTAGATAACATTTCAGGCCTTAAGAAAGAGCTGCAGTAGGCAGATTTATCTCTTGCATAATGTATGTTTAATTGGTCGTAGAGTCACTTTCTGGGCAATGCCAGACGTGACAACTTAAAGAAAAATACCATCAAATTTGAACATTTAGCTGGTGTTTATTTAGAACCAATAGAACTTGCTAATTTTGTATTAGGATCAGAAGGACTCACCTGTTCTCCTGTGGTTCCTTTAAACACACCTGTATATGGATAGTTGACCTCACACCTGTCTTGTTTTAATACAAGTCGTTCATCAACTTCAATAACACATTCATACAGATTCTCAGGTGTTACTATTTCCTAAAAATAGAACAAACAAGCCAACAGTGAGGGTGATATGCCCCGCCAAAATCACAAAATAAATAGATGACACATTTATTTAATAGCACATTTATTTTCTTCAAAAGTATCAAGCAATCAAACTGATTATCAACCATACACTAAGTTTCATAACTCTCTATCAGATAGAATCAAAGTTATCTGCTCATCTTCGAGCTCCATCAAGGCACTGTCATAATAAACACCTACAACTAGAGTTATTGTGTCCCAAAATGTGTTACGGAGACAGACAGACGAACGGTAGGCCTACAGTAGCAATCCTACCTTTATGAGGCCTTGATATGTCTAGAGATTCAGCAGACGTGCAACAGTTGGGCAATGCTACTGGTACTAAAGATTCAGGGCTGATCTTTACTTTGTACAACCATTAATTTATCTGGAATTTTTAGTCAAATATAATGTGTCACTTAGCAATAAGTAGCGATGGATACCATACACTGAACAACATATATACTCACTTTTTCTATAACATGGAGGGAGAGGGGTTGGATGGCCAAATGGTTAGCATGTGCGCTGTATCATAAGGTCTGTCATTGAGTCAACTGGGGTGGTTTTGATTCCCCGGTTGTACGTGACAAGGAGTAGGGTCGCCTGTCCAACCTTGTGAGTTTTCTCTGCATCACCCGGGTCCTCCAGTTTCCTCCCACTGCTAAAGACCCCTATGCGCAAGCGAATTATTGAAATAAAATTGAACCATATGTTAGTCCCGAAATGACTTAGTTTGTGTCGAGTGGATGTTAAACCCTATTTCTTTCTCTCTTACCCTAAGGATTTTCCAGACTTTTTTGTCATTGTCAGTGGTGCAGAATACAGAATAGCTTCCAGCTGTTATGAAAAACCTGAGATTCACCAGTGAACTCCTCAATGGCGTGCACATGAAAGGTGCATTAGGTAAGATTAGATAAAGAGCTTAAGTTCTCGTTAAAAAATAGATAATGAAAACAGAATATGCTGAAAAATTCAGACAAATTACCTCACTCTGAACCAAGATAATAGCAATTCAAATTTAGGCTAGCCTTGATCGTCGTAACTACATGTATATCGTTGGTACGATAATAAACAACGTCTCGATTATCTTTTTTTACCTTAAATTATCCACCACAATATGTATTACAATCCGCTATATATCACACGCTAACAATGGAAATGAGAGTTGATTATGGTCTAGGTAAGTTAATTAATGTCTAATCAATAATTTAGATAATATTATACTTCAGGCCTAAAATAAGACCTGCAATAGGCAGATTTAGCTCTTGCACGATGTATGTTTAGTTTAGGAGCTATTAAATATTTACCAAATCAAATATATCTGGTCTGGCTTGATTTCCAATATGTAGAAGATCTTTGAAACCTTTCGTTATAACTAATGCCATCTTCTCTCCCTTTCTTTCTAATAAAGCGTTGGTTGCTACGGTCGTACCCATTCTAATCCATTCTATATTCGACGTATTTATTGGTTGATTTGCTGGCATCACCTTCCCTGTTTTCTGAGAATGAAAATATGATACTTACATTTAATATGGACAATAAAAGAAAAAGCATCAGTTATTTAAAAGTGCACTAAGACAAATAGAACAAACAAGAGCATTGCTAACGCTACAATATACGTCCACATTCCTGCTTTGATTCATATATGGTACTTTTTATAATGAGAGAAAGAGAGAGATGGGGTTTATCGTCCACTCGACACAAACTAGGTCATTTTGGGACTGACATATCGTTAAAAATTTTTTTCAAATATTCGCCTGCGCATAGGGGTCTTTAGCAATGGGAGGACCCAGACGTCCCAGAGAAAAGAGAAAACCAACAAGCCTGGACAGACGACCCTACTCCTTGTCACCTACAATCGGGGGAATCAAAACCACGCCAGTTGACTCAATGACAGGCCTTATGATACCACGCGCACACCATTAAAATGAAGAGAATAAAATGTGAAATAGCTGCAATGACTGTAATATGATAAGAGGCAAAGACGGCTAGGCGTAGGGATTGTTTTGCCAAATTTACAGACCATATACATGTATTAACAAAAAAGTGGGTGTGGCACCACCCCTGGGGATTCTTAGGCTATAAGGAATACATATGCCAAGTTCCAAGACGATCCATTAAAATTGTGGCCTGTAGGCAATACACCAACACACAAAGAAAAAATGGGTGTGGCTCTGCCACTGGGGGTCGGGTATTCACCAAAAACAATAGAGAGAAGAGAGAGAGAGAAATGGGGTTCAACGTCCACTCGACACAAACTAGGTCATTTCGGGACTAACATATGATTTAATTTCAATAATACGCTTGCGCATAGGGGTCTTTAGCAGTGGGAGGAAACCGGAGGACCCAGAGAAAACCCACAAGGTTTTCTCCAGGTCCTCCGGTTTCCTGCCACTGCTAAAGATCCATATGCGCAAGCGAATTATTGAAATAAAATTGGGGATCATGTGGCTAAGTGGTTAAGATGCTGGCTTGCTAGCCTGGAGGGTCGGGTGTTCGATCCCTGCATTGGCCGAGAAAGTTTATCCAGATTTTCTGGCGTGGTTTTCCCTTGTCAGTGATGCAGGACGGAGGGCCAGACAAGGACAGCTGTCTAGTCGTTCGGATGGGACGAAAAACCGAGGTCTCGTGTACATACATGTATTAGCGTGCACATAAAATATCCCTTGGCAGTTGGAATTTTAATATAAGAGTAGGCCGTAGCGCCGCTGCCCGGTAAAATTTCACTCATCGCCCACTGTATGGCGTATGCCCATCTTCATTAGCCCAGTTTAGGAGCAGAACAGTAGGATGTTAAACCCCATTTCATTTCATTTCATTTTTTGAAATAAAATTAAAAACCATGTTAGTCCCGAAATGACATAGTTGTGCTGAGTGGACATTAAACCCCATTTCTCTCTCTCTCTCTCTCTCTCTCTCTCAAAGAGATCTAGAGATATTAGTAACATTATAAATTATGCTGAGTCATACCCTGAAGTCAAGGACCTGAACTATTAAGTTACATTTAGCTAGGTTGTATATCATGTTTATCTTTATAGTAAGAAATATGTATATCACGTTCTGAATACATGTACATATACTAAAAAAATATAAACATATCTATATTACAATCTATACTGAAAAATGGTGGGTCGGGAGGGGGAAAAAGTCAGCTACAAGGTTATGTAGGTCAGAGAGAGAGAAATGGGGTTTAACGTCCACTCGACACAAAATAGCTCATTTCAGGACTAACTTGTGGTTCAATTTTATTTCAATAATTTGCTTGTGCGTAGGGGGTTTAGCAGTGGGAAGAAATCATAGGACCCGGAGAAAACCCACGAGGTTAGACAGACGACCCTACTCCATGTCATGTACAACCGGGGAAACAAAAACAAGCGACTAAACATTCAGTCATCCAACCCCCCTATGCAAGTCATACCATTAGCCTAAAACCAACATAAGAAACAAGACCATCCCATTTTATTTGCTTTTCATGCTTCTTTTACTTTTAAACAAATATTTAATTAACAGTCAACGGTAGATATTCATCAATTATACGATTTCGCAGAAGTATAAAAATGGCTGTGGGCTTGTTATCAGTGACAGATCAAGATTGGGGCCCTAGCAGTCTGCACCCATCCCCTAAATGACAGTTTAAAAAATACTCAATTTCTATTTTACCTGAATGTTGGAGTTGGTAGAGAGATTCAGTAATGCATAGCCAATGTTATAAAATTGGTAAAACATTTCAGCATTTGTGTTAACAGGTGATTGATATCTTAATGAGCATGAAATATCGTAAATTATAGCAATATTGTGACAAAATGAGATTTTCAAATAGATAACACAAACTATGGCCACAGCTTGTAGTCTATACATGTAGAATAAAATATATACATACACTGCCCAATGCTATATACATTTAATCCAAATGTGTATGTTGAAAAGAATAGGGTTTGGTTTACATGAAGTCTCTGTGAGTGATTTGAGGGGTAGGATTGTAGGGGCAGGGGCAAGGGGAGCTTTTTAATCCCTTGCAAACTACAATATTGTAAAAGTTGAATCTCTACTGGTAATAGGAATATCAGTTCAATCAGGGATAAACCGAGAAGGTGTCTGTGATTATGATAGGCTCTGGGGTCCCTAAAATAAGTTTTCACATAATTTGAGGGTCTGTTTTAGTTTGCATACCCTTTAGAAAAGCCTTCAATTTACATTGTTTTGGATGAATCGTGAAGATTGCCATATCTTTAATTTGCGCATCAGTCTAATCATAAGGATACCATTGACAGTCTGTTTTTCAAAGCTTTTCTTGAGCCGGGAAGGAGAGAATCCCCGGCTTCATCCATGAGTGGAGGGGGGGGGAAGGGGTCCCAACTTATAAAAAAATAGGTTGGGATGTACCAGCCCAGGGTGAAACAGTCATTGGATGAACTGACCCACACCTATGTATGACAAAATGAAATGAAATGAAATGGGGTGAAACTTTCTACTATTCTGCTGCGACTGGGCTAATGAAGGCGGGCATGCACCATCAAGGGAGTGTATTTATCATAATTTTTTTTTGGGGGGGGGGGGGGGATGGACGAACCCTGGAACCTGGAACATTTCATTACCAAACAGTTTACTGTACCAGTGTTATTTCAATGAAAGCTGTAACTAACTAAGGGTAATATGATGACTATATGGAAAAATTGACTACCTACAATTAAGAGGGAAGATTTCGTGAAAATAAGTAACTGTGCCGAGACCCAAGGCAGTGGTTAGTATAGCCTTCAGAACGGGACATTCATGTGGATATAACCTGAAAATCTGTCCTAGCGATCAAAATCATGGGGGGGGGGGGGAACAGAGACCTATTCTCCCCCCCTTCCGATTCTAAGGGGGGAACGCATCCCCCCACACCCCCCTAAATCCACGCCCATGTACGCCATACAGTTTGCTGAGGGAAATTTTGCCAGGGCAGCAGCACATATGGACTACTCTTATATCGCATTCGAACTGCCATGGGATCTTTTACGTGCATGCCAATGTATACATATAGAACCTTGGTTTTTCGTCCCATCCGAACGACTAGACAGCTGTCCTTGTCTGAACCTGTCCTGCACCACTGACATGGGGAAACCGCGTCGGAAAATCACGATGAACTTTCTCGGCCAATGCAGGGATCCCGTGACAATCAAAATGTTTCTAATTGGGCTTCCAAAAATAAAGCGTCTTTAATATCAATAAGCAAGCAAACAACTCAACAAGCGACAATTTCTCAAGTTCAATATAATTGAATATAATATCGCTCCCAAACCTTACCTTCTCGATAATCCTTCTGATTCCTTCTCTCGGGGCATCTTGGTAATTCGAAGGATCCACAGAAAGCAACTTAGTCACAACTACCTCACCATCAGGACATTTCGCCCAGATATCGGTGAAGGTTCCACCACGATCGATTGCAAATCTGAATTTCCCAGCCTCAGGCATTTCAACTGACGCAACATAAGGTTCAGCCGATGTATATCAACGTTGAAAAAAATACTAAACTGTAAGTAGTGGAAGGGAGGTCACTCTGTTTAAGTAAACAAAAATAGTGGAGGAGGGGAGGTCACTCTGTTTTAGTAAACAAAAATTCGCCCTTCAATGTTCTTTTATTTGATAATCAAGGCTATTCCCACATGTTCATTGTGAACAAAAATCATGGCTGGTTTAGAATTGCTTTCTGATCAAGGTTTCAGAATAGACGGTCGTAGATCTCACGAATTAAGAAAAATACAATGTAGACTTGGTGTATTCAAACAAGCAGATGGTTCTGCTTACATAGAACAAGGAAATACTAAAGTTTTGGCCGCAGTATACGGCCCACATGAGGTTGGCATTTCTCATAATTGTATTTTAATAATAATGATTTAATAGCCTTTCTACTAAACATGTTATCTGCGTTTTGTTTTTGATTGCCGTACATTCACATTGATAAAAAACATTACGCAAATGCTCTGATGAAGTTCTATATTTGTTAATTGTTTGTTTCTTTTTTCTTTTATTAAAATTTTATGTAATATTGCGCATCAAAGTTGGGAGTCGGCTAGCTGGTGACTCAGTAATCACAGGCACACAAACCAGGAGATTCGAGCTTGGCTGCTGGTGTTGGCCTAGAAAGTTGCCCGAGAATGTTAATGCATCGAGGACAGCGAATACTATATACAAAGTATAAAATGCAATTACAAGTACCAAATGTATGGCTGGGCACAAATTCAGAGCACTCACATACTCAGACAAGGTGTTCGAGCGGTTTCACGTCATTTGGGACTCACGTCATTTGAGACTCAACATAAACGACATTTAGGACTCAGTTGACGACGTTTGGGACTTGATTGGCGTCGATTGGGACTGAACACAAACGACATTTGGGAATAAAAATGTCATGTTGATGTTGTTTGCCCCTAGGAGTTCGGGGTTGGATAGCCGAATGGTCAGCACGTGCGGGCTGTATCTTAAGGTCTGTCATTGAGTCAACTGGCGTGGTTTCGATTCCCTTGTTGTACGTGACAAAGAGAAGGGTCGCCTGTCCAACGGTGTGGGTTTTCTCCGGGTCCTCCGGTTTTCTCCCACTGTTAAGCTAAAGACCCCAATGCGCAAACGAATGATTGAAATAAAATTGAACCATATGTTAGTCCAGAAATGACCTAGTTTGTGTTGAGTGGATCTTAAACCCCATCTCTCTCTCTCTCTCTTATTGCATTATTTCATTTTTTCTCAATGTTTTTTAATTTTAGGTGAAAGGAAGTCGAGCAAAGATGTTACAGGATAAAGTATTGGTTAATTGTCAGTACAGTATGGCTACATTTAGCACAGGAGAAAGAAAACGTAGACCAAGGGGAGACAGGAAATCTACAGAGATGACGATGCATTTAAAACAAACGTTTGATGCTGCTATTATTACAAATTTATATCCTAGATCACAGATTGACATCTATGTTGAGGTAAGAATAAAGCAAATCAAAAAACTAATTTCAAAAGCAACATCCCAGACAGTAATTCTTGCCTACTTGTATAATAATCACTTCATTTTGAAAAAGGTATAAAATTAGGCCTGGTGCCTTCTTGCATTTTTCACTTTGAAAACATCAAGCATGCATAAACCAAGAACAAAGTTATTAAATTAACAATAATAAATGCATTAAAATGAGACTATAGCAGAATCTGGACGAGCAGCCACTCTTATTCAGTGACATCTCCTTGTAAGTGGTTTATTGTTTCATCGCCTTAATCAACAGCCATTGTTGAATGATACCATCTTGTCATACTTCGTAGCACCTCCGCTAATCACATGATTGATAGTTAATTATCTGGTCCCTCACCTATCAGGTAAAAAGAACTGTGAAAGTAACAATAAACCCGGGATTATCTGTTAATTAATCTTTTGTTTTTCCTGAATGTCTTTACCACTGAATCTAAAAATTTCAGTATTACTCTCGGACATGTATAAGTTTTGTCATACACTTGTTGAGAATGTGGCTCCGTGGGTAAGACGCTGGCTTACTAGCCTGGAGGTCGGGTGTTCGATCCCTGCATTGACCGAGAAAGTTCATTAGGATTTTCCCTTGTCAGTGATGGAGGGCCTGACAAAGACAACTGTTTAAACAAAAAAACAAGGTTCCATGTGTACATTGGCATGCCCATAAGAGATCCCTTGGCAGTTGGAATTCAATAGAAGAGTAGTCGATAGTGCTGCTGCTGGGGCAAAATTTCCCTCATTGCACACTGTATGACGTATGCCCATCTTCATTCGCACAGTCGGAATAAAACAGTAGGATGTTAAACCCCATTTCATTTTATTTCATTCTTGTCAATTGAGCTAGTAATTGATAATTTCTCGATTGTTTATCAGTATTTCTGTTTTTCCAGGTATTGCAGTCTGATGGCGGTAATTATTGTGCCAGTGTAAACGCTGCTACTCTAGCTTTAATAGATGCTGGTATTCCATTAAAAGACTATGTTTGTGCTTGTTCAGCTGGTTTTGTTAACGACACACCTATTGTTGACATCAGTTACCTAGAGGAGTCAGGTGGGGGACCAGAACTTATTGTCACAATCTTACCTAAATCAGAACAAATTGTTTTTCTCGAGCAGAACTCGAGGTTACATGAAGACAATTTAAGTAAAGTGTTGGATGTAGCATCTAAAGGTTGTAAAGATATTTATGCTGTTTTAGACCGAGCTGTTAGAGATCATGTTAGCAAAGTTTCTAATGTAGCTAACACAACTGAATAGACTTTTGTTGTTATATGCATGTATGGATACTGCACAAAGAAATACAGAAAATTTTGAAAAACATTTGGCTAGTTTTGACCATATTTCATCTATACATCTAATCCGTCTGATGTGGGGGAGGGGGGGAGGGAAGGGGGTTGGATGGTCGAATGGTTAACGCGTGCGCGGTGTATCATAAGGTATGTCTTTGAGTCAATGGCATGGCTTCGATTCCCTGGTTGTACGTGACAAGGAGTAGAGTTGCCTGTCCAATCTCATGGGTTTTTTCCGGGTCCACCGGTTACCTCCCACGGCTAATGACCCCTACGTGCAAGCGAGTTATTGAAATAAAATTGAACCATATGTTAGTCCCGAAATGACCTGGTTTGTGTCTGGACGTTACACCCCATTTCTCTCTCTCTCGTCTGACAAAGGTACCAATCGTTCACAAATTTTCAATAAATTACATCTTTGTTAATAGTTGATGGAATTAAATCATATTTTGACTGATATCTGATATTTCTTATGCTAGGTTTCCACTGTCATACGATTCGGGTGGGATTGTCTCGATTGAGTCCACAATCTGGTATGTGCAGTGTTCTGATACATTTCGATACGGTCAACACGATTGCTATGACTGACCTCAGTATATGACGCCACATTATAGGACGCCACAATTTCAATTGTAGCTTGAATCGTGTTGGTGGAAACCTAGCATTACAGATTCAATTTTTATACGCCCACATTTTCATGTGGACGTATTATGCCGTTGCCCCTGTCCGTCCGTCCGTCCACAATTGTTTGTGGACTCTCTACAGGTCACAATTCTTATCTGATTTCGACGAAACTTGAAATATAGGTTTATCCCCAAAAGATCTCGGCTGCTTTCGATATTGGCATATATCGGATCAAAACTTCATGGATTATGACCCCTGTTTGTACGAAAAATCACGTTTTTAGCTTGTGGACCCTATATAGGTCACAATTTTTATCCAATTTTGTGGAAACTTGAAATGTAAGTTTATAACCCAAAGATCTCAGTTCCTTTCGATATTCGCGCATATCGGACGGTAACTTCCTGAATTATGGCCCCTGATTGTACGAAAAATCGCGTTTTTCGCTTGTGGACCCTATAGAAGTCATAATTTTTATCCGATTTAAAAAACCGTTCAATTATATCACCGTTACACCCTAAGGATGGCTGAGTTCGAATTTCGTGAAAATCAGCCCGAAATTGACAGACAAAATGGCCGCCGTTCGTTCTCAAATAGCATAAAAATATGGTATATCAAGGTTGTGGACACTCGAAGGTCACAATTTTTATCCGATTTTGTTGAAACTTGAAATCTAAGTTGATAATCCAAAGATTTTGGTTCCTTTCGATATTCGCGCATACCGGACCGTAACTTCCTGAATTATGGCCCCTGATTGTACGAAAAACCGCGTTTTTAGCTTGTGGACCCTATAGAGGTCATAATTTTTATCCGATTTAAGAAACCGTTTTAATATATCTTCGTTACACCCTAAGGAAGGCTGAGTTCGAATTTCGTGAAAATCGGCCCGAAATTGACAGACAAAATGGCCGCCGTTCGTTCTCAAATAGCATAAAAATATGGTATATCAAGGTTGTGGACACTATAGAGGTCACAATTTTTATCCGATTTTGTTGAAACTTGAAATGTAAGTTTATAACCCTAAGATTTTGGTTCCTTTCGATATTCGCGCATACCGGACCATAACTTCCTGAATTATGGCCCCTGATTGTACGAAAAATCGCGTTTTTAGCTTGTGGACCCTATAGAGGTTATAATTTTTATCAGATTTAAAAAAACGTATTATTATATCACCGTTACACCCTAATTAAGACTGAGTTGGAATTTCGTGAAAATCGGCCCAAAATTGACAGACAAAATGTCTGCCGTTTTTTCTCAAATAGCGTAAAAATATGGTATATCAAGGTTGTGGACCCTATTGAGGTCACAATTTTTATCGGATTTTGTTGAAACTTGAAATTTAAGTTTATAACACAAAGATCTCAGTTCCTTTCGATATTTGCGCATATCGAATTGTAATTTCCTGAATTATGGCCCTTGATTGTAGGAAAAATCACTTTCTTGTTAGCTTGTTCTCTATCCATCTCTCGAAAATGTGGGCGTATCCTGCCTGGCAGCCGCTGGTTACTATACCGTATCGAGGCGGGGTGGGACGGCCGAATGGTTAGCACGTCCGCGCTGTATCATAAGGTCTGTCATTGAGTCAACTGGCATGGTTTCGATTCCCTGGTTGTATGTGACAAGGAGTAGGGTCACCTGTCCAACCTAGTGGGTTTCTCCGGGTTTTCCAGTTTCTTCCCACTGCTAAAGACACTTACGCGCAAACAAATTATTGAAATAAAATTGAACCATATGTTGGTCCCGAAATACCTGGTTTGAGTCATGGACATTAGACTCTCTGTCACTCTCTCTCTCTCTCTGTCACTCTCTCTCTCACTATACCCTATTGAGTTTGCAAGGGGCAAGGGATTAAAAATTCTTCAGAGGACTATCAGAAGCTTCAAGAAACATTGTCCTACATGTAAAACCCCTGGAAGAGTTTGCCGTAGTGCCGCGGTCTGGGCCAAATTACCCTCACAGTCGGTGCAGAAACACCATTTCATTTCTCAACAGGAATAAAGTAGAATAGAATATGATTTTATTGCATCGAAACGCCCTTGGGGGCAGCACACAGTATACAACGGTGAAATATAAAAGTACATATATATATTATACACTGGCATAAATTCACAAATAGAAAATAGAAAGCATAAGATATATACGTGAAAAGTACAAAGCATATATATAAAGCATGAACAAGATATAAACATGACAAATTTAAAAAAAACAACATATGTGCTACTAAAATATTAAGCTGTAATAGAATATTTAGTACACCCTAGAGGTCAGGATATAAAACCTATTGCCAGTGATTGAATGAATAGAATTGTCTGTATTAAGCTGTAATAGAATATTTTATACACCCTAGGGGGGTCACGATATAAAACCTATTGCCAGTGATTGAATGAATAGAATTGTCTGTATTAAGCTGTAATAGAATATTTTATACACCCTAGAGGGGTCACGATATAAAACCTATTGACAGTGATTGAATGAATAGAATTGTCTGTATTAAGCTGTAATAGAATATTCAGTACACCCTAAAGGTGATATAATACCTATTGCCAGTGATTGAACGAATAGAATTGTGTGTAAACATGATAAAAATCAGTTTATGAAAATATAAAATATGTATGAAAGCAAAAAGCTCGATTTAACAGACCATTTCATTGTGTGATTACAGGTGAAGCAACGAGTTTGCTATAGCCCCAAAAATCATGTACATATATAAGTAATCGTAATTTAAATATACATAGATAATAATAAAATGTTTATAACCCCACCCCTTTATTACAAACTCCTATCAGTGAAAGACCCCCCCCCCCCCCAAAAAAAAAATAGACATTTTACTATATTACACACTATGAACGATACTTCAATCACAAAAGACAAAATAAAAATCAGAAGGCACACAATACACATCTTCCTAATATAGCTATTACACGTGATTAAACATACATTATGTAGGAGCTAAATCTGCCTATTGCAGGTCTTTCTTTAGGTCCGAATTGTTATCTCAATTATTATTTAGACATTTATTAACTTATCCAGACCATAATCAACTCTCGGTGGCATCGGTAGCCTGTTTATTGGGTTAGGTTCCTATTTGCTGTTCGACTTCCATTCATAATTAAATCAGGAAATGGATAATCGAGACTATGTTTTTTTATCCTCCCGACCTTAGTAATGGTGATCGAGGCAAGGCCGAAAATTCAATCGCTAAAATCTCGGTTCATAGTAGATCAATTTGACTGAAATTTTCAGCACATTCCCTTTACATTATCTAGTTTTTAAGTATTATAGTGATAACTACCAGCTTTTTATCTAATCTCCCATAATGTATCTTTAATCTTGCGAAAAAACAAATACACCCTCCAGCTCCCAAGACAGTCACACATAAATTAAAATATATACACACGCCAAAAAATCATCACATTTATGTATATAATAGAATTTGGAGAATTTATATTCGACTGAAATTTAAAAATGTATATTCAGCTTAGAAGGTCAAAGACTGATAATTAAGAAAAAATTATATTCGATTGATAATTAAAAAGTCTATTTAGTTAAAACATTCACAATTCCCATAGCTAACAAATAAAATTTATATTCGATTGATAATTAAAAAGTCTATTTAGTTAAAACGTTTACAATTCCCATAGCTAACAAATAAAATTTATATTCGATTGATAATTAAAAAGTCTATTTAGTTAAAACGTTTACAATTCCCATAGCTAACAAAGAAAACTTACATGTATATTCGATTGATATTTTAAAAGTATATTCAGTAAAACATTTACGATTCCCATAACTAACAAATGTATGTATTTGCCCAAAGTTCACAAAGCATTCTGAGACTTAAGTTAAAAATTTAGTCAGCTTTCAATCACCGTTTATGAGAATTATCTTGGATCCAAAAACACAAAACTTTGCACATAGTTTCTTATTGATGTATTAGAGTAAATTCTTAACTTAAATCTCAGAATGCTTTGTGAGCTCGGAACCTGGTTGACCCGGATGTAAATAAACTCTTGTTCTGGCAAAATTTCCCTCATTGCACACTGCATGGCCTGCCTTCATTAGCCTGATGAGTCAGAAAAGTAGGACTCTATTTCATTTCATTTATCTGATTACCCCAGTGTCCTCAACAATTCGGTTTATTTAAAGGTACATTCAGTGTTGGGGTGGGAAGGGGGGGGGGATGGTCAAATGGTTTCGATTCCCCGGTTGTACGTGACAATGAGTAAGGTCGCCTGTCCAACCTAGAAGATTTTTTCCTGGTCCCCCAGTTTCCTCCCACTGCTAAAGACACCTACGCGCAAGCGAATTATTGAAATAAAATTGAACATTATGTTAGTCCCGAAATGATCTAGTTTGTGTCTAGTGGACGTTGTTGAAATAAGATTGAGCCATGTGTTTGTCGCGGAATAA